TAATTAATATTCGTGTAGGGGAGACTGGGTACGGTTGAAACAAAGGACGGTTGAAACAGAGCAAATATCTCGTAAACGGTTCCGCGGGGAGTGAGGGGTCCTAGGGGAAAAAGAAGCGGAAGACAGGTCCGAACACGAATTTAGTGCCTAATAACTTCCTAACGCGTTGACGTTGTGTTTAAAACACCATTTTGTTTTTTACTACCCAAAGTAAGTATTTTTCTTCAGACATTTACGCTTATACTATCTGTTCTTTTTATGTGAATGTATCAGATTTGCGTTTGCGATTATAATGAAGCTTGTAGAATAAGGGACAGTAACTATTTTTAATGTGTGATTATTAATATCGATACTATAAAGTATATTTTACCAAAAGTGGGGTTGGGGACGGTTGAAACATTTTTTATGGGTACGGTTGAAACAGAAAATGTATTAATGTTTATTTTTTGTTGATGCCGAGAGTTTGGGTCAGGAAGATTTCCAGGTAGGAAATTGACTTGGTAAAGCATAAGAGGAGGTAAAAGCTGGAGATTCACTGCGGAAAGCGGCGGAAAAGTATGGTTTGAAAAAAAAAATTAAGATTTTCGTTAACTTTCTTTAGAATGTTAATAATTTTTTATTATTAATGTTTATTAGATGTGGAAATATTATTTATTTTATCGTATCTGTTATTTTTTTAAATGTTTACTACTTATCAAAGGCTAATTAATGTTTTAGAAATATTAAATACTTAGACTGATTAATGTCATCATGTGCTGCCAGAATTTTAATATTCGTAGTATTAATGATAAACAAAACACGTTTTATTGGTAATTATTGTATTATTTGTATGTATTTCAACAGACCCCAATCGCTGTTTCAACCGCCCCTGGCATGGGGACGGTTGAAACAAAATTTCTTTTTTTTTAAATTTCGTATATTTCTAAAATTAGTAACCCGGGAACTATAATGATACAGCCATATTATAGCTAAAACTTCAAATTTCAATTTCACGTATCGTAATCGTCACTTGGTTATTAAACAACAAAATTATAGACAATAAAAGCAAAATTGTTTCAACCGTACCCAGTCTCCCCTACCGTCTTTTAAGTGTTATTTCCATGTTGTATGAAACAGATGTATTTGTAAGTTCAGGCTATCTCATTCTAAATTCAGTATCAATAATTTGTGTACCCTCCATCTTATTAATATTTGTGTAGTGTGAAATAGATATACTTTTCTCCTTCTGTCTCGCTCTGACCGTTTATGATAATGTTTGTAGGTAATCGTTTTATTGTCTCACCCTAAAATGTTTGTAATTGTTTTCTGTGAAACAGGTATATGTTTTGTCCTTGTCTCATTTTGTAAATATTTTCCTATATAAGACCGTCCGTTTTCGAAATAAATGTTCATTGTAATTTGGAGTCAGCCTTTAATTGACCACACATAGCCCCTCTCAACAGTGGTGACCCCTACCGAACACATCAAACATCAAAATGAACACAAACCCTGAGGGACGGCTGCCACAAGATCCTGCACCTGCTGTACCACCTACTGTCATGTCAAGATACAACGCGTTAGAAGACAAGATCGACAAGCTGACAGAAGCTATTACGCAACTAGTGACGCACAATAACCAACGAGGACGTTCGCCCTATCGAAACTGGAGACAGAATCGGCAAGCATCTCGATCGAACAGCCGCAACCGAAGCCAAACGCCCAGCAACTCGCCGTACTGCTACTATCATCGCAAGTTTGGCCACAACTCAAGAAAATGTGCAGACAATTGTACATTCATGAAGAAAAATGTGCCGGAAAACTAGCATTAGCGTTGGCAGAGACGGGCACCAGCGCTAGAGTTCAATCACACCGTCTTTTCGTTACCGACAAGAAAACAAAACTGATGTTTTTGATCGACACCGGTGCGAACATCTCCGTCATTCCCAAAAGAAGTAGCCAGCAAATGAAGCCTACAACGTTCAATTTGTATGCAGCTAACAACACTATAATACCTACCTACGGTGAGAAGACGCTCGAGTTGGACCTTGGCCTACGTCGTCCATTCAGATGGAAATTCATCATAGCCGCCGTCAGCAAACCGATAATTGGAGCTGATTTCTTAGAATATCACAAGATACTCGTAGATATTGCGGGTAGAAGCCTCAGAGATGAAGTCACAAACTTATCAGTGAAGACAAAGATTTCAAACTACCCTACACCAACAATTCGAAGCATCGACAGCAGTCAGAAATATCACGATATATTAGCTGAATTTCCTGAAATAACTCGGATATCAACAATGAAAGAAACACCGAAACACTGCGTCGAGCATTATATAGAAACAACCGGACCACCATTATACTGCAAAGCAAGACCCATTCCGCCTCATCGCTACGCAGCTGTGAAGAAAGAATTTGAGGTCATGGTGGAACAGGGCCTATGCCGACCGAGCAAAAGCCCGTGGGCAAGTGCACTGCACGTAGTTCCCAAGAAGAACGGTGACATCAGGGTATGCGGCGATTATAGAAGACTTAACGCTGCCACTAAACCTGACCGCTACCCTGTGCCACGTCTTAAAGACTTCACCTATCAACTCAACGGAAAGAAGATATTCTCCACCATAGACCTCAACAGAGCCTACCAGCAACTGCCAGTATTCAGCGCTCACATCGAGAAGACAGCAATAATTACTCCCTTCGGCCTGTTTGAGTTCCCGAGAATGTGCCCAGGTTTGAAGAACGCCGGACAAACCTTTCAACGGTTCATAAATGAAGTGCTACAAGGGCTCGATTACGTTTTCCCATTCATTGATGACGTCTTGATCAGTTCTGAAACTGAAGAAGCCCACATACTCCACCTGCGCACCGTGTTGAGTAAGCTGAACGAATACGGAATCACTATCAATCCATCGAAATGTACACTGGGCCAGGAAGAAGTCAAGTTTCTGGGCTACATGGTGTCACAGCACGGCATTAAACCACCTGATGAGAAAGTGAGTGCAATCAGTGCATTCCCTCGCCCTAATACTATCGAAGAACTGAGAAGATTCCTCGGCACTGTCAACTTCTACAGAGACGCCATACCACAAGCCGCATCTATACAAGCTCCACTGAACGCGTACCTACATAATAGCAAGAAAAACGATAAAACAAAGATTGTATGGACTGATGAAGCTACACAAGCATTCGAAGCGTGTAAAGTTAGCCTTCAAAACGCAGCTTTACTCGCGCATCCCGCATACGACGCACCGATAGCACTTATGTGTGACGCATCTAACACCTGCGCCGGAGCTGTGCTACAACAATACCAGCATGACAAGTGGCAACCACTGGGCTACTTTTCAAAGAAATTCTCCGATACGCAACAACGATACTCGACGTACGACCGAGAACTACTGTCAATTTACATGGCAGTAAAACATTTTCGCAAAATGTTTGAAGGCAGGCAGCTCACTATATTCACCGACCACAAGCCAATCACTTACGCCCTGCTGAAGAAAACATCTGACACTGAAACTCCACGTCGTACCCGCCAGCTACTATTTATCAGTGAGTTCACAAGTGATATTCGTCACATAAGTGGGAAAGAGAACATTGTTGCCGACTCGCTCTCTCGCATAGAAGACATAACATGCCCGAGTACTATTGACTACGATCAACTTGCATTGGCACAAGAAAAAGACAGCAACTTAACAACACTTATGAAGCAAGACAATCTACACTTCAAGAAAATTGCAATGTCTAATAGTGCAAGTATCTACTGTGAGACATCTACCGCAAACGTAAGGCCGTATTTACCTCAAGACTTTCGACGTATAGCATACAACGCAATACACAACCTAAGTCATCCTGGCATTCGCACAACCCGAAAAATGCTCACTGAAAGATACTTTTGGCCATCGATGAACGCCGACATCAGCAACTGGACCAAAGCGTGCATACCATGTCAAAAGGCCAAGATAAATCGACATACCAGCAGCAACTATACCTCATTTCCACCAACTGAGAGATTTCAACACCTACACGTCGATATCGTCGGGCCACTACCGCCTTCACAGCATGGCCACAGATATCTACTCACAATGATAGACCGCACAACCCGTTGGCCGGAAGCCGTACCTCTGCACGAGATAACCGCCGAGACAGTAGCCAGACACGTCTACGAAGGATGGATCTCACGATTTGGGTGTCCCTCTACACTGACGAGTGACCAAGGACGCCAGTTCGAGAGCCAACTTTTCACATCACTCACTAAACTACTTGGCATAGAGAAGACAAGAACTACCGCATATCATCCGCAGTCCAATGGAATTGTAGAACGGTGGCACCGAACTCTCAAGACCGCCCTTACTGCGAGCCTAAACAGCCGTAACANTTACCCGCCAGCTACTATTTATCAGTGAGTTCACAAGTGATATTCGAAAGTGGCGCACGCGCCGCACACGATACCTCGGTGATTAACAACTTACGCAGAATGCAACACGACACCACACCAATGTAATGTTAATGTGTGCAAAACAATAAAACATAATCATCAATTCTGCTGATGATTAATACTCAAACAAACAGATGTCTGACCTTCAAATCTATGTAATTTTCCAAATATCAAAGTATCTTTTAAGTCTCTTGAGCGACTATAAGAAGGTAAAGCTACAACTTGCACTAGTATTATGTTATCTGTGGTCCAACTATTGGAGAGATACCTAAAAGCATACTTAATGACCAAACTTCATTTTACCATTTCTAAACACCTTCCCTATGGAGCAGTCCACCCTTACCGCCGACTCGGCCTGCCGAGACCAATCCTCGAATGAATAAAAATTGACCGAACGCAGTAGAAAACATATTCAAAACGGAAGGTTAACTCTACCTACCAAAGAGTGATATTTTCATAACACAGACTAAGGATAATTAATTGGGGAGGGGCGATGATCGCTAATAGTGAGGTAAACAATGATTCATCGACACGCCAAAGAGCTGTTCGGGAGTTTCAACGATATTAACCTAAAATAAAACTATGTATGACAGAGACAGAGTTTGTATTGTAAAAACAAAACTATTCACACTTATAATAACTGCGCATCTGTTATTTACACTTGCGTTACTTACGTCTAAGCAGAGAAATACGGCTTCACGTTTCCGTCATACAAAATATACGACATTTCCACATTTTGTACATTGTAATTAACAAAACTTAAGTACAGAAAGTACTTAAAACCAACATCATTCTAGTTTGAACCAACAAAAGAATAAATATAAGACTTCATCAATCAACCTCAAGCAATCCTAGAAAAAAATCCAAATTACTTATGTGTAACTCTTATGAATACCCCTTATCTTAACATATAAAACAAGTAAATAATTTGTAACACTGTTTTAACTAAAAACGATTTCATTCAAAACGTTACTTTCCCAGTTCTGCTTAAAATTATTCTAACAGTGTTATGACTGTTTTAGTTTTTATGAAAAAGGGGATACAGATACAGTTTATCACTGATAAACTTTAGCCTATTCCATGCGCTACCCGTGTCCAACAGCTTTAAGATTAAAATTGGGCACAAAACACACTTCAATGTGCGCATATTTAAATAATTTGCTATCACATCTTACATCTACGCATCACTGTAGTTTATGTACAAAATCTACAAGTGGTTCTTATCTAAACGTTCAAGTTAATACTTTATCAATTTGCTAAACACACGTGTTCGTTGGCTCAACGAGTCCAGAAGCCCTCACGCTGCTAGGTCAATTCTTCAGCTCCAGGTAATCGACACACTCTAGTTTAGAACCTTTAACCGTTTGGCACTATAACATTACCTAAATAACTATAATACAGTTTTAATCTCACTCGTACCACTAATCCATAAATACAATCGATCAGCCCGTGAAGACTAGTAATATCATACCAAATAAAAAATGGTTTTTGACGAAATTGATAATGATAATTTTAGTGTATTTTGTAGACGAAAGTGTCTACAAAATACACTAAAGTACAAATCTAAAAAGACAGACATGGTCTATTTTGTCTGTCTTTAGTATTGGAATTGAAAAATAAGCTCATCTTTGCTTTGGGTAGAAAATAAAAAATGTTACCTTTGCGCCACAAATATTTGACGTGAGATTATGGTTAGTGGGACTAGGTATGCATAAATCAACTAACGATTTATGAATAAGAAATCTAATTACATACATATTTAGACCAGGTGGTCAACTCAAACGCTCCATCCAATCCACATCACGATACAAGACGCTGTACCTAAGGATAATGGTTGGAAAGTGAAAGATAATAATCCCACCAATATTATACATCTCTCTCCAGTCTCCACCTTCGATCAACGGCAGTAAATTAAATAATATTAACTGATCAATACATGTCCACAGTCCACTGAACCTCACTAGACCTCACTAAACTGACTAGCGGGGCGTCCTGCTCTAACGCCGTTTTCTCGTGTTCGCATCTATCCATCTCTACTTTTCACGCCGGCATCGGGTGGATAGATCCGAAATAACTGTTAACGGCGGAGCAGGAGGCCGTGCATATAATGTGTGGCGCGATGTCCGGCGGGCGGCGGGAGGCGGCGGCGGCGGCGGCGGCGGCGACTACTTCTTCTTGGGCTTCTTGGGGTTGCGCGAGCGGCTCTTGGCCTTGCACAGCGGGCAGATGGGCGCGTTGCGGTGGATCTGCTGGTGGCACGACAGGCACGACTTCATGGGCGGCGGCTGCTGCCTGCGGGCACGTGCGCGGTCAGCGAGCGGGTGTACGGACGGAATCGATGACTTTAAATCGGAAGTGTGTTAGAAACATATCAGCCGTTGTGACATCATCATTTGAACGTGAACCGCTTAAAGGCCTATCGGCGGTTGAATCGATTATGGTTAAAATAAATGCAATAAAAAGTTTACGTGGCGAATATTAAACGATGCAAAAGAATGTTAACAACCAAACGATTAAATGAACAACATAGGAATGCTGTGCATGACTAAAAAAAAATAAAGTGCACACAAAAAGAGGTGTGGGTGGGATCGAGGCGAGGGTCAGGTTGAGGGTTACGGGGGGAAATTATAAGAAAACATAACGAAAGCGAACCTCAGCGAGACGGTAAGGAAATCTTGGTCGAGAGCAGACCTGAACGCGGGCGGCGGCGGCGGCGGCTTGCGCGGCGCCGGCGGCAGGAAGGCGGCGGGCCGCGCCGGCGCCGCCGACAGAGGCGGGAAGCGGCTGCGAAACACCATTCATTAAATAAATTAATACTCTATAATAAAGTTTTTCAAAAAAAGGCAGCACTCAGCGCATATCTGAACTCTAAAATTCTACCGTAGCCTACATTTGCTCGTTCAAAAGACTTTTGAGCTAGATTTGCTATTTTAATTCAATCAAGTTTGGTTTGATTTTAAAATTTCAGGTCATCAGTACTCATTGGACCCAGACAGACTGCGTCGTCGGGGGCGTTAGGCCGAAAATAGCGCTAGTAAGAAAAACTGCGTCCATTTATTTTAGCCAGAAGTGCTAAGGCGGTTATCACACTGCGCCGCGCTCCGCCGCGGTACGCGGGACGACAGATTTAATCATTGTATGCAAGTACCTCAGTTTGTATGGCAAACACGCGCAGCACAACACACTGACAACGCGTCTGCGCGCGGGTTTTTTTATATGAAATCACGCGCTCCGCGGCGGAGCGCGGCACAGTGTGATGATAACCACCTAACACTGCTAAAAAATGTAATATGGGAAAACGTCACTTTTGAAGTTAGCAAACGTGTCCTCGAAAACTTTAGCATGTTTTCGGCGGTTGCCATGAAATGCCATGGCGATTGCCATTTCGCTAACAATTTCTAACAAGCGCTACTTTCGGTCAAATGTAGTCCACCGATCAGCATAGTGATGCAACAAATACTACTTTTACGAATACAAATATTAAATCTACTATTCGGCGAATACGACGGTTACGGTTTTTTTTATGTTATCGTATCACTTTAATTTGTAACTAATCACAAAACAAAATACTTGTACAATCGACCTGCTATTGACTGTCAAATTCCGGAAGAGAACTTACTTACTACTTTGTTACATACTGACTGACCGGGGATTTCCCATCGTGTCGGTGTGGCTATAGTGTTCGGAAACACACTCGTGTGTGACAAAATCTTAAAAAAGTAGGCATTCGTATTCGTAATTATTATTTCACCGAATATGAATGTTCGGTTAATGTCTACTATTCGGCGAATACGAATATTCGTATTGGTTGCATCAGTAATCAGCATGGCGGACGCGGGTGCTCACTCGGGCGTGATGGGCGAGCCCTCCTCCTCGTGCAGGTCGGGCAGGCGCTCGAGGCCGAGGCACTGGCGCCGCAGCAGGTCCACCTCGGCCTTCAGCGGCCGGTAGTCCTCGTGCAGCCGCGACGCCGTCGACAGCTTGCGCGTCATGCTCTCCTCCGTTTGCTTTATCACTGTCTCCATCTGCAAACATGATCATTCATATTCTTTAACGTTCGTACGCTGCGCCGTCTGCTCCTAAACTGACCAAAGCTTGTTCTGTGGGTATTAAGAGTCTTAAATCTTTATTGGTTAAAGATTTTTTAATATTAGTTATATTTTTTCATAGAGAACATCCAGACCGATACAAACAATAATAAAATATGTTCGGGAAATTAACCTGTCAACCGATGCATAGCCACCCAGTATGCAAAATGCCACATTAATATAATTTAAGCTATCTTAATTAATAAATATTATTTTGCATTATTATATTAAAAAAATTAAAGAAAAGGTCAGCATCTTAAGTCGAGGCATAACTAAAACGTTTTATTTTTGTATGTTGGCTTTCTAATGCACAGTGAGGCCACTCTGCCAACACAAATAAACACAGCAAGTGCTCCAGCTGGAACAATGAAGCTTGGAGCTATAAAAACAAACAGGCTATTTATAGGGCCTGCTCTGTGAGATGTACACTTCCTATCATTTCCCAGGAAGACACATTTCATATTAAGTATTCACATACAATATGAAATAAAAAAATTTGATTTACTAAAACTGTTGTAAACAATAAAGATTGGTAAGAAAATTCACAGATTCCAGTCTTAAACTTACTGCATTAATGTCTGCGTGTATCTGGCGCAGCTCCTCCACGTGGCTCATCTTCTCCTGCTGCAGGAGCTCCATCTCGCGCTTGTACTGCGCGAGGCAGCGGCCCTCCTGGTCCCCGCTACGGACTTCATTCAGGATGCTCCGTTTTAGCCGCTCCAGTGTTATAGTTTTGTTTCTGCAATTGTTTTATATTATTTAATATGAAATGCTTCAATCCAAATGAAGTTACCAAGTTATGATGAGTGCTAGTACATTATCAGTTGTTGAGACAAAATAAGCCAATTATGAATAACCTACAACCATTTTTATTTTATTCATTATTTATTTAGTACTGAAAATTTAAATTTACAATTATTTAAACTTACGACATTAAGCTAAAAAGTTTATGTCATGTAGGTACTTAAAATTACTCTAATTTTATTGAATTTATCTGAGAAATCTGAGTCCTTGACCTTACATCTCTTCAAAACTTTTTGAAAGAAAGCTCTGAGCTATCATGTCGAGAATAATTGTTAAGTTTGAAATCTATACGATAATAAACTATCCTAAAATACAGCTTTAGAAACGAGTTAAAAACACAAAGCGAAATAAAAACGGTGTCAAGTGTTTATTGATCGAGTCCACAGGTGCGAAGTAGAGAAGCTTTTTGACTGATTTTATTGAAAAACTGAAGTACCTGATCTCTTTCATTGCTTCTAACTTGTGATATATTTCACGTTCGTTTTCTGCAGTCATTTCTTATGCAATTTTGCTAAGAATTAAGCGGTTTTTGGCGAAATAAAGGAAAACACAGCAAAATACAAGTTTTCAACCCATGCACACTTTGTTTCTAGTGATGTGCCATACATAATGGCAAATGGATTGGATGTTTGGATGGAATGGGAGATGTCAATAAGATGGGAATTTCAATTGAATAATCGATTCACTGATCGTAATCCGAATAATTATGATCAAAATTAGAGAAAACACGTTGTGGGCGGGTGCGCTGTGAACATAAATTTTAATTCTCATCATTCTCATATGAGTGCGACTGCGATGCGAACGAGGTTGTTGAACGAGAACTGTTGCGCGAGCGCGAGCAGTAAAATTCGGCGCCGCGGCGTCAAAAATTTCGCACCTCCTCCCGCGACAAACACCAGCATCCCCCTTCCCACCAATATTGAATAGAATAGAATAGAATAGATTTTATTTGAAAGAAAGACATACAAGCAGGAAAGACATAGGTACATAATGAAAGAGATACACAAATGGACAGATAGCTGCTTGTGCCCCTCTGACAAAAAGACACCCGCTCAGCATACATCAAGACCGTGCCAGGGCTTGTCTCGAAACTGATTTTCAGCAGGGGGGCGCAATGAACAGGAAGAGAAGAAGAAAAATCAAGGTAATTATAAAACAGTAAACAAACGAATAACACCATAACAATTAAATTTGGTAGATATCCTTTGATAGCCGAGTTTTACTTCATTTCACTAAAGGAGAGGTTTAGAAGGATCCTTATACAAATCTTTGCGTAATACATTGATGGCCTTATTGCAAATTGAAACTTGTAAGAAAAAAATTTGTAAAACTATTTAGTTGTTGTAACTATTAGATAACCTCTCTGTTAGATACACAATAATATTATATTAGCTCACGCACGCAAGGAAATTCGAGGCGAACACACGATTACACATTTATAAGTATTTGAAATTAACAAACAAATCAGTTTGAAGAATAACTAAAGACGTCGTCAACTCATCAATGATCAAGCGTAGTACAGCCCCCGTTAAAGTAGACACAATGCCAAATGTGACAGTTTTTATGTCGAAAGATGGTCGAAAAGCCACAGTGGATCTAGACAAAGTGCACATTAGAATTGCAAAGTTGAATAATGGTCGAAAAGCCTTTTTTATAACGGCTTCGATTTTCGATTTGATCAAAAAGTATTGCTGCGTTTACACTGCGCGGAAATTAGCCAAGTCAAGTCAATAAAACAGAGGAGTGGGGATGAAATTCATTCATTTTTCATCCCCACTCCTCTGTTTTTTCAATAACTTGTCTAGAGGGGCTAATCCAAATCTTTGCTTATGTATTAATTGCCTCAACTCGTGCTGCGCGACCTATTCACAACTAAGATTATCTTTCGTTTATGGTTTTATGGTATATTATTAAAATTTTAGTTTATTCTACTAATATTTCAAAGTTGAAAGAAAGACTGTTATTTTATTTTGTGGTTTAAAATTAATTTATTGAAAAAAAAAGATGTCTCAAGGATGTCTCATACATACTCTTTTGCGTCAATTACCAAAGAGATAAATTTAAAAAAGTTCAAACAAAAATGGCTGCCTGACCATCGATAGCGGCTTGCTGTCAAAATACCAATTTCAACCTAACGCGTATGCTTTATTTTAATGTAGATAATTTTCCATGTTAAGTTTTAATTAATAACTAGGTGAAATAGATATTTCATTTCAAATGACTCCAATACTCCATATCAAAGGTCATTTACACCTTTGCCTCTAGTGCTTCGTGTCCTGGTGAGGCACCACTTACCTTCGTTATTCGGTGTTTACAACTCGAATTAGAATGAGTGACGACGGCAGCGAGGATTCGGCACCGCGCCCCAAGCGCAAGATCAAGCGGGTGGTGGTAATGTCGTCCAACTCTAGCTCCGACAGCGACGAGTGCATCGCTCCCACGGGGACACGTAGAAAGCGAATGAGGGTGAATATCACAAAAGATCGCAGATTAGAGTGGATTATTAAATTATCAGAGTGTCTCAGTCATGTTATTATTTGGTTTTAGGTGGTTAGCGATGCCGAGACTGACACTAGCGGGAGTTCTGTTGTGTGTGCGGGAGCGCGACGCAAACGAACGCTGCCGAAGCTTCGGGATTCTGACGGGGACAGTGACACCTCTGGATGGGCCACAGACCAATCCGACACCCCTAAGCCTGCTCCCGGTCCCTCAAGGCCCGCCTCTGGCTTTGCATCTGACAGTTCTGAAGGAAACTCAGATAAATGCTCTATCTGCCTGATGCGTTTCACTTCTCAGGAGGTGGGCACACCACAAAACTGTGAACACATTTTCTGCTTGGACTGCATCACAGAATGGTCAAAAAATGTAAACACATGTCCTGTGGACAGACTTACATTTGATTCTATTGTTGTACGGGCTTGTGCTGGTGGCAGAGTACTGCGCACTGAGCCTGTGACGGTCGTAGAACGCAGACCATCAGTAGAAATGCTCGTTATAGAGGATCCTACTACATGTGAGGTAAGTTATTGTGCGTTTATAATTATGAAACAAAATTCTAATATGTTAATGTTGGAGTATAAAGATATAATAGTAAAATAGACTTAATTATATTGTCATTACTGAAATTGGTGTGCAGATCTGTGGAAATGCAGAAAATGAAGAAAGTATGCTGCTTTGTGATGGATGTGACCTTGGTTTTCACATGCAGTGCCTTACTCCTCCTTTAACAGAGGTAAATTATTCATTAAATTAAAAATGTATTAATAATAATTGTGTTATTTATTACTTTGGATGATGATGAGGATGATTTTGTAATTGCTATGTTCCCATTACCCACTGGATTGTGTTGTAAAATAGGTACAAACAAATAATGAAAAACAAAACCAATTATTGTAAGAATTAATAATATTGTTTACAGATTCCAGCAGAACAGTGGCTCTGTCCTAATTGTGACAGTATTTTAGATGTCATTCAGTTGTCTGAGATTGAGGGTTTATTCTCTGGATTGGAGGATATTGATATGCCCATGCCTCTCCTACCCCGATTCAGAGAACCCAGACATATAAGAGGCTCATCCCGAAACATCGTATCGGATGAACCGTCTACCTCATCGGGTCGCAGAGGCAGTTCCTCCAATGTAGATTCAGGTCCATCAACGTCACGGGGCACCCGAATCAGCAGAAGAGGCAACACCAGCGCGGGCACAACAAGAAGGCGTACCAACGGACCTCAAAGAAGAAAGTACAAGAGACGAAGAACCAAAGCGGTCATAATCGAATATGAGGTGGAGGAAAATGGCAAAATTCCAATCACAAAAAGAGTTAAAAGAAGAATAAAAAAACCAAGAGTAAGCATTATGTTTCTATACAGTATTATAACACAAGTCTCATTTTCACACCGCCCATGAACGGTCACCGCGTATCGTGTGGTTAAGCTAGGTTCCGCCAAATTTGTTCGTCTCAAACCCCTCAAGCACCGTCAACGACGGGCGCTCACCTGGCGCAATTGCAATTTTCAGTCTAAAAAGCGGCAGCCCCGCACCGTGGCGCGGCGCTCGCACGTGCGCGCCAGCGTGCGCGCGCGCTTGGCCGACCTGCGCGGCGCGGCCGGCGAGGAGCGCGCGCTGCCGGCCGGCCTGCAGGCGCTGGCCGCGCGCCGCCGCGCCGCCGCCATCCCCGCGCTCAGCCTGTTCGGCGCGCGCCACCAGCTCGACTGCTTCGACGACGACGACGACGCCGGCGCCTCCGAGGCCGCCTCCACGGCCGTGGCCGTCCGCCCGACCGCCGGCGTCTTCAGCGCCTACAGACAGGTAAACGTCGCGACCCGGACCCGTCGCCGCGGCGATCGCGATCTCCCCTCTGACGTCTTCCGTGATTGTGTTCGCAGGCGAGGAGAAAGATGGTCTCGGTGCCGTCGCCCCCGCACGCGTCGTCGGCGCCCGATTTGCTCTCGAGCATATTGGACAGTCAGGCGAAGCTGCACTCCAGGAACTCGGTGGTGTCGATTTCGGTGGACGGGAGCGTCAGCATCGAGGTGCGGACCGTCAAAAAGGACGGACCCCCCGTCGGAAAGGGCGACGGGAGACTCGATCTGACGAAAGGGGACGAGGGGGCGGCTCGGAAGGCGCCCTCGTACCCGGGGCAGTCGCGCGGCGGCTGGGGCGGCGGCTACCGCGGCGACTACCACCGCGAGCAGGCCGGCGGCTTCGGCCGCGCCGGCGCCCCCCGGCCCGACAACGGCTACGGCGCCGGCGCCCAGGGCGGCCACGGCTACCGGCGCGGCCCGCAGGACGGCGAGGGCCACGGGGGCTTCGCGCGCCGCCCCCACTCCTACCCGCAGGCGGACGACAACGGCTTCGACCGGAACAGGCGTCCGCCGCCGGGGGACGCGAACCGACAGCAGAACTTCCCGCAGAACCAGAGGCACGACGAGCGGCGCCCCGGCCGCCACAGCCTGGGCCCGTCGTGGCAGCCCTACGGCGGGGCCGGCCCGCGCCGCGACGCCGCGCCCGCGCGCCTCTCCTGCGACGACCCGCTCGACATGCGCGTGCAGCCCCCCTGCCCCCGCGCCCCGCCCTACCGGCCGCTGCCCGAGCCGCCCGTCTTCGAGTTCGACAAAACTCCCGACGTGGAGAAATCGGAGGACGAGAGGAGCGATTCGGGTCTCGTGATAGACACCGAGAAGTACGACCCCACCGAGCCGACCAACGACGACGACAGCGGCGACGACCCCGCGCCCGCCGCCCAGGCCCCCGCGGCCCCCGGCCCGGCGCCCGCGCTGGACGCCAGCGTGCTGGACGTGTGCGTGCGGCAGGTGCTGCGCGAGCACAGCTCGCTGCTGGCGCCGGCGGCCGCGCGCAGCGACGACGACTCGGACGGCGACTGCCCCAACTTCTCCATCTACTCCGCCGCCAGCGTGCACATCGCCAACGACGCCGGCGCGCGCCCGCCCGCCGCGCCCGCGCCCGCGCCGCCCGACGACATGGCCGACCTGGTGCAGGAGGACGACGAGCCCGCTCCACCCGCCGCGCCCGCCGCGCCCGCGCGCCCGCCCGCCCCGCCCGCCGACATGAGGAAGACGCGCGAGGAGCTCAAGGAGAAGGTGTCCAAGAGGTGCCCGATAACCACGAATCCGAGGAACCCGATCAAGATCAAGCTGAACACGCCGTCGCTCATCCGGAGACACATGAGCCTGTACGACGACGCCGACGAGGAGGAGGAGGAGCCGGAGGACGAGGCCGAGCCCGCCGACCGCGCCGCGCCCGCGCAGGAGCCGCGCGCCCCCGCGGGCCGCGCCGCCGACGACGCGCCCGGCGAGCGCGGGCTCGAGGCGCGCGACCGCGTCGAGCCCGACGAGGACGAGGAGACGACGAAAGAAGACGAGATTAAAAATGCGCAATCGCCCGAGGAGAACGTTTCGACCGACGAGCCGGCGCCCGTCGCCGCCTCCGAGAGCAAGTCCGCCGCCGAGAGCGAGTCCGCCTCCGAGGGAGAGGACGACGACGACGACGATAAAGACGGCGCGAGGACGTCCCCGGTCCCGAACGCCCGGGAGGCGAGCGACGAGGAGAAGGACGAGCGGGACGCCGGGAAGGAGCCCGAGCCGGACGACGCCGGCGGCTCCGACGCGGCCGAGAAGCCGGACGACGACGCGCTCAGCGACGACGCCCGCGACGCGTCCGACGCCGGCTCCCCGCCCCGCGCGCGCGCGCCCGGCGCCGCCGTCGAGAAGATGACCGAGTCCATCAGCGAGACCGAGGACGAGCGCAGCTACACGCCCTGCCTCGACGAGAACAAGTCCAAGGACGCCTCGCTCGAGCCCGAGCGCGACCGCGGGCTCGACGGGCTCGACACCGAGATGATCTCCGAGGACGAGGGCAACGAGCTGTTCGGCGACGACGCGCCCGCCGCGCCCGAGGACGGCGAGATCCCGCCCGCCGCCGAGCCCGCCAGGAAGAAGAAGCGCAAGGACTCCAAGCGCGACTCCAGGAAGGAGGGCAAGGAGAAGGGCAAGAAGTCCAAGAAGAGCGACGTCGCGTTCAAGAAGCTCAGCAAGAGCGGCAAGGAGCGCCACTACCGCGACAAGGACAAGGACGAGCGCCGCCGCGACTCCAGCGCCGAGCGCAAGCGCAAGCGCAAGGAGAAGCGCAAGGACCTCGAGCGCTACGACGTGCGCACCGTCGTCACCGACAAGCGCCGCCGCGCCAAGGACGCCTTCGGCCGCGACGTGTCGCCGCGCCGCTCGCGCTCGCCCACGCCGCGCTCGCGCACGCCCGAGCCGCGCCGCACGCCCGAGCCGCGCCGCCGCAGTCCCGAGCCGCGACGCCGCAGTCTNCCGTAACACTAAATGGCTTGACGCTTTACCTACCGTTCTGCTGGGACTACGAGCTGCAACAAGACAAGACACCGGAGTAAGCGCCGCACAACTGACCTACGGAACTAACATAAGATTACCGGGAGATTTCTTCAATAACACCCCGATGACGTCACTACAAAATATGGACTACACCTACGTGGAACGATTACGTCACACTATCAACGAATTCAAAGCCGCTGAACCAGTAAGACACAACACTAAAACTTTCGTGCACAAAGATCTCCAATCCTGCGAAAGTGTATTTCTGCGCATCGACTCCGGCCGAAGATCANGCCTAAATTTGAGATATTTACTTATGAACAAGAGCTGTATTTCAAGTAGCTCGTTAGCTTTACATCAAACCCTAGTGGTTTTTAAAGCTATCTAAATGTAATTGTCTCAATGTTAATGTTTAAGTTGTTAAATAAAAAAAATAAAAAAATAAAGTATTTTTGGGTATTTCGAGTTGAGTTTTTTATACCAGAAGGGTATAAGGTAGAGGAAACGTTTAAGCTAATAAAAAAAAAAGTGCAGGTCGAGATGTCAAGTTATTCCCGCGCGGTACGGATATATTAAAAACTTATCTTGAAACGCGCACCTGCTCATGTGGGATTTGTTTTTGGCAAAAACGGTAGCATGCTATAAGATTTTTTTAATGTGGGTTTACGTGGCATACATTCAAGGAATCATAGCAATAGCTTTCGTTCTAGAGTGATCCGTTATTTGGACGTGAACTGGACGGTGGACGCGAAAGGACGTGTCGACCTTACGAAAAAATGTATCCACCTAATTTTAATTATTTTAAGCTTAATGGTAAGCTTAAAATAATCAAAATTAATTGTGCTTGTTATGAAGCATGGCTTTTGTTCTTTTATTTGTCTTTTTTTAAATTTTAAGTAAACGTACAATTACCTGATCAAAAGCGATCATAATCTGCGATTATATTTGATTTTTCTAATAAAAGACAATGCCGGAAATTGGCGTCTTTTTTTTTTCNCTGCAAAAACTGAGTTAAATATTCGTTTGACCACCTACGCCAAAAGACCTTAAGCATTTGTTGGGTTAGCTGCCAGCGTTTCAAAGATGATATTGTTGACGTTTCATAATTGTTATCGGGCACAAGTACTAAAGGTTCACCGATGATAAAATGACCTGGTGTGAGAGGTGTTGGATCTTGTGAATTGGTACTGATCTGTGTTAACGGCCTTGAGTTAAGACACGCTTCAATTTGGTATAACAACGTAGATATTTCTTCATGGGTAAGGGTTGCTGTGCCGATCACTCGCTTCAGATGATGTTTTGTCAATTTTCCTTGGTCACATGGTAAGCTTTCTTTTCTTTCTCTTCTAAGTTCGTGTCCTTTATGTCCGTTCTGTCGTGTTCTATGGTTATGTTTTTTAACCATGCAGGTCCACTNAAATAAATAAATAAATAAATAATTAATTAAAAGTCGTCGGACGTGTTTACCAATTTTTCACTTTGACAGTTCATGTGACGTTTACGAGTAAGCCATTCTGGCTTACTAAAATCTGCCTCACCTTTCGTGCACTGACTATCTATCTAGGTTTTATTAATCTAAGGTTGTAAGCAATTACGACTCTAAGAACTGTTAATAAAATACTATTTTCTTTACGACCGTGTAAGTGCGCTCCGACGCGCTCCGCCGCGCGCCGGTCAATGGGCATCGTACCATAGTCTAAAACAGAGTTCCGGATGAATGTCCAAGTTGGACGATAGCTCGCGGCTCTATTTCATTGGGCTCCGACAGACACCGTTGGTAAGCCCCCGCCCTTCTGGCGGGGAAAGTCACACAAACCCATAAGCTGTCCTTATTCCCAGTGGGTATGCTCAAAGCTTTTCCCTTGTCTTTATTATACACCAAAATGTTTTCTTAAGTAAATAAATAAAAGAAAATTACTAAACATAAAATAAAGCTGTATGAGGGTGACCTGGATCACTGGGGCACACGAGCCAACTACTGTTTTAACAAGTATGATTTTTTTTTTAAAAGACTGAGCGTTCAATTATTTCCACTTGCGTATCACGTGTTATCTTAAAATGTAATGTACCTACTGTGCTAATAAATAGCCTTTTATAGACGCCCTGTAATTTCCCAGGGCTGGCGCTCGCGCTGCAAGGGCAGGAGATAGACGCGTCGAGCGCGCTGCACGCAGCCCTGGCGAGAGACCCCGACAACGTGGTAGCATTGGCTTTGTTGGATGCTATAGTCGACACGCTCTCTACAGAAAACTTAGGTAAGTGGAGTACTGGTTGTGAGAACCATAGGGGAGTGAGATAACATATACAGTGTTCCAAAAACAACGAATAATCCTGCAACTATCGATTGGCATTCTCATGGAACACCCTGTATTTGACCGTCATGTTTGGAGGCGTTCCTGTAGGAACGCTTTATGTATACATATAGGGTGGTGATGTGATTGTAAACTCTAAGGTCATATATCTGCAAGTTTGAAACGTGCATACACCCTACTAAATAATTATGCCATGATACACCCTGTATCATAGGCGTACTAAGCGTTTGCTTCAAGCTTCTAGGAGTGACTTTTGACCGCGTGAAATTAAGTTTGCCACAGATCGTTATAAATATTAAACATCCATATTCACAAACGCATTTATAATATTAGCAGGATTTTAAAAAGGAAACATAACGTAGAGGATTACGTTTTCCACATATACTGGTCATCACAAAAATCGGCCCACCTACGCTTTACAGGAAAACTCGTTTCTACTGACACAATCATGGTGCCAATATTGGTGTTATTTGAAAGCCCAATAAATATCCTTAAAGAAAAACACATTTAATTTCTTAATAAACGATTAACATAGCAATAATTATGACTTGAAAAAAGACCTCACTTTGGGCTCACCTCTGGGATCAATTAGACCAATTTTTATGGTTATAAAAGCAAATAATGATCTCACGTGTCCTCTTTAACAGATGGATAGCGATTACTCCCAGCTTAACAGTTTTATAGCCATAAAAGTTGGCTCAAGCGTAACTACCTATTTTTTTGAAGAAGTGACTGTGAATAAAGTCCAACAATGTATTTGATGATAAAATATCCTTTATTTTGATTTAGTTTCACAAAAAACAATTCTCCCGTGACACTGTTGATGACATGACAATTTCTTCTTTTTTATTACTTTATGGTATTAAACATTCCGCCCACCATGACCGGAATGGTCATAATTCCGCCCACCATGATTAACCACCAACGAAAGAGTGGACTGTATAGTTAGATAAAAACAAAACATTATAAGAAATTTAAATTGGTTAAATCATGGTGACTAGATAACAAAACAATAGTTAGAGTTTAAAACCTTATAAATGCATAGGTATACAAAAATATTGTTATAAGATAACTTAACAACTTAACTTACTTGTTCACAAAAGTGGTTAAACAAAACGAAAACAACAAAACTCATCACTTAAACATGATATAAAAAATAAAATAGCTCTATTCAGCCACTGGCAAAACACACAATTTTACAACAGGCCTTTTAATAATGGTATCTCTACATTTTATACTAACAACTCTCGTAAGGTTGTCCAAACCTTTGTGCTTTTCGGTAATTATGCCCATTAACCACTTCGCAGGAGGAAGATCGTCTTCTTTAACTAAAACTACATCCCCGATTCTAGGCTCTGGTGTTTTATTTGCCCATTTGTACCGCTGCAAAAACTGAGTTAAATATTCGTTNGAGCTATTCAACACAAAAATTATTATTTCAATCAAACTAGTAATTCTTGAGATTAGCGCGTTCAAACAAACAAACAAAAAACTCTTCAGCGTTTTAATATGAACTTGTTGTTGTTGATTTTTGGCGTCAAACCTTGGACCAGGCATACGGCTAGGCAACGTAGTGTAAATGCCCTTCAACCATCAGGAAGACCACTTTTCGATAGGGTAAGTCCTTTACGCGGTATAACTGGAAAACCGAAAAAGCGCCCCTTTCGGGGGCCCCCACCATTTAAGCACAACTCCGTCGAAGTCGAAAACTTAGGAGAGTCTTAATGGGCAACCAATGAAGCCATTAAAGCAATAAAATCTTTTGTAGGAATTATTTCCGATTTAAAAGCTAATTCTACTGGACTATGTACCTACCATGAGTTTACGTTAGGTGTGTTCGCTAGCGAGTACGTCAAAAATCTCTATGAAGATTTTGTTTCTTCAAAGTAGCCGCTAGGGGCGCTGCACAATATGTCAAACAATTAAATGTCATTTTTTACGCAGTCGCTAGCGAACACACCTAACGTAAACTCATGGTAAGCACACAAGCTCGGGTTAAGTGACACAGCTATTTGTCTTTTATTTAGTAAATTATTAATTCATTCATTATTAATTCTTTCATTACGAATTACATTGAATAAAGCACACCACTCAACTATTCTAGATTTCGCATTATTGATAAGTCCATAATCATCGGAGTGATCAGTCTGATTCTACCTTTACTGTCCATTGAACGGACTCGCCCCAACTGATGTGGTTTGGTCCACGCGAGCCCAGACACTCTACTAAGTCCTTTACGATGTCTTCATTTAAATTCAAAGTCTTCTAGACATTACAGTATATAGTATGAAGCAATCGAGGCTCCTCTTTGTGCGATTAACACTATACATCTTACATATAAATGTACCTAGTTAAAGAGTCAAAAAATATTTTATCTTGTGCACACATCGACCCCGCAACCTCAGGGGTCGCCGAATTCTCTCAACTACCGAATCAAATTGTTGTGTTGAAGTAAACTCTTTGTATTTTTAAAGTCTCAAAACACCATCACTAATCTAGTCAAGCAAGAAATTAATGATAAGCGATGACGAAAATAACAAATGAGCGCCCAAGTTAATTGCTTTTCTACAGAGGAGAGCGACTATTAAAATGTTCACATCTCGTTCACTCCCAATCTATCAGCAAAACCCAGTGCCTATTAAATTAGATTTCCTACGAGTAAACAAGGAGAAAACATTCTGCTTTAATGTAATCAAATTGAGATAAATACTAAAAAAGATAAGGAGTGTTTGGCAAATTAAATTGAAAACTTTCATTCGATCGTTTGACTCGGCAGCTCAAGTGTCGAACAGACGTTCGAAAATAAACACTATCTGCGAGAAACAAGATTGAGAATTGAATTGGGAAGTATCGCTGAAGACTCGCAGCTTTAGACTCGAGAGAGGAAAATTTGTGTCGTATTGGATTTTAATTTCTTTTTCTAAGAATTAATGACTGCTTCGGTACGAATCGTCTTTCCCGGTTCATACGTTAAAAAGTCGATTGGTTGTTCAATCGGCTCCGTATAAAAGTGAGATTTTCCCGTCTAAAGTGCCACTTTATAAAATGTATCTGGGGCTTATCTTTTCTCTTGATTTTCTTCGATGAAAAAGGCGGCTGATATTTTTTTCTCACTTCTTAGAATATAATCCCTCGAGCTGCTGAGTTTGTTTTCACGTGACGACTCAGTCCAAAGAAGCCTTTTTATAAAGGAATCTTTTTGATACCATTATTTGCAGCGAGTACTTTATAATTTCTAGAATAATCTCCGTTAAAATGAACGGCTTTTAAAATAAGTTAAGATTAGAGACAATATTACTTTTGACTACATAATGGTATATAAAATGGAAAAGTTATATTCTTGTCCTCTATAAACACAAAAACAATCTTTATCATTATTCCAAGTTTCAGTATGGCATTGCAGGAACAAATTATAACCCACACTATGGAAGAATCAAATCAAATCAAAATTATCTTTATTTGTTTAGACTAATTAAATTAGTTCTTGCAAATCGTCAAATGCTCTTAAGGAGCCTATACATGTCTCATTCTTTTTTTGCCCTACCAGCGCTTCGAGACAAACATTTGGCAAGTGCTGAGAAGAAGCGCCGCAACAAACTCAGTCACCACTGTCTGCCGGTTTAAAAATATAAAAAAATATAAAAAAGTAGGAAGTTACATACATTCAGAAGCAAGTTACTTACCACGCGCTCTCGTTGATAGGTGGCCTTTAAGACGCCCATCTAGCACGAAACCGCGTGGCAGTTTTGAATATATTTCTTTAGTGCCGTGCTAATTTCTAGGTTAATTGTTGCGTTTTGATACATATATTTTATGTCAGGTATATCTTTCCTTGACCAGTCCCCGAAGGCAGCGCCTGTTCACAGACATGACGTGTGAACCAGCCATCGCTTCACTCGACCATATTATAGGGAATGTAACGACCCGCCTCACACGCCACTACCCCAGAGACATTTTAGTGAGCATGACAAGTCTAAGATATCCTTCTGGCTAAGTGCCAGATATAAAACTGAATTAAGTCCAACAATGTATTTGATGATAAAATATCCTTTATTTTGCTTTAGTTTCACAAAAAACAATTCTCCCGTGACACTGTTGATGACATGACAATTTCTTCTTTTTTATTACTTTATGGTATTAAACATTCCGCCCACCATGACCGGAATGGTCATAATTCCGCCCACCATGATTAACCACCAACGAAAGAGTGGACTGTATAGTTAGGTAAAAACAAAACATTATAAGAAATTTAAATTGGTTAAATCATGGTGATAACAAAACAATAGTTAGAGTTTAACCTTATAAATGCATAGGTATACAAAAATATTGTTATAAGATAACTTAACAACTTAACTTACTTGTTCACAAAAGTGGTTAAACAAAATGAAAACAACAAAACTCATTACTTAAACATGATATAAAAAATAAAATAGCTCTATTCAGCCACTGGCAAAACACACAATTTTACAACAGGCCTTTTAATAATGGTATCTCTACATTTTATACTAACAACTCTCGTAAGGTTGTCCAAACCTTTGTGCTTTTCGGTAATTATGCCCATTAACCACTTCGCAGGAGGAAGATCGTCTTCTTTAACTAAAACTACATCCCCGATTCTAGGCTCTGGTGTTTTATTTGCCCATTTGTACCGTTGCAAAAACTGAGTTAAATATTCGTTAGACCACCTACGCCAAAAGACCTGGAGCATTTGTTGAGTTATCTGCCAGCGTTTCAAAGATGATATTGTTGACGTTTCATAATTGTTATCGGGCACAAGTACTAAAGGTTCACCGATGATAAAATGACCTGGTGTGAGAGGTGTTGGATCTTGTGAATTGGTACTGATCTGTGATAACGGCCTTGAGTTAAGACACGCTTCAATTTGGTATAACAACGTAGATATTTCTTCATAGGTAAGGGTTGCTGTGCCGATCACTCGCTTCAGATGATGTTTTGTCGATTTTATCCCACTCTCCCATATTCCACCGAAATGAGGAGCTCTTGGTGGGATAAAATGCCACGTGGTACCAGCTGTGGCCAAACTCTCTGCGATTTCTCTAGCCATGGTTGAGTGCTCTTGGGCCACCAAGGTCTTCAACTCTCGAGCGGCGCCCACAAAGTTCGTTCCATTATCGCTGTAGAGATCAGCGCAATGTCCACGTCTCGAAACAAATCGTTTAAAAGCTGCTAGAAATCCCTGTGAAGTGAGATCGGTTACAGCCTCTAGATGCACAGCCCTTGTGGCCATGCATACAAATAGGCAAATGTAGCCTTTGTATGCTCGGTAACCTCTACCTTTAGAAGCTCTGATCTGGATGGGTCCAGCATAATCAACTCCACTCTGATAAAATGGGCGTATCGGCGTGATGCGTGCTGGAGGTAGCTGTCCCATGAGTTGATGTCTAAATTGTGCTGCATGTCGTACACATGTGACACATTTGCGCACAAACAATTTTGTGCGGTTTTTTATATCAAGAATCCAATATTTCGATCGTAGATAATTTACCATCAATTGAGGTCCTCCGTGAAGGGTTCGTTGGTGAGCATCGGCAATGACAAGATCTGTGAAGTGAGATTTTGATGGTAAAACAATCGGGTGTTTTTTGTTATCACTGATGTTAGCTCTCTCAAGACGACCACCAACTCTCAAAATGCCTTCACGATCCAGAAAAGGAGTCAAAGTGGTAAGTTTGCTCTTCTTGTTAACTGTACCTGTAGTCTCGATATCTTTGATTTCTTGTGCAAAATGAGCAGCTTGACACGCTCTTATGCTAACTAGAATTGCTTCTGAAAGTTCTTTGCTAGTTAACCATATCGGAAACGTCGTTGCTTCAATAGATTTCTTTGCCTTTGATGCAAATCTCCTACAATAAGCTATAACTCTTATTAGTTTTTGTAAAGACGAATACTTGGTCCACAATTCAAATTCATCTTCTTTGGTTACATGGTAAGCTTTCTTTTCTTTCTCTTCTAGGTTCGTGTCCTTTATGTCCGTTCTGTCGTGTTCTATGGTTATGTTTTTTAACCATGCAGGTCCACTTTTCCAGAGAGGAAGTGTATCATATTCAGATGGGTTGACTCCACGGGAAGCGCAATCTGCAGGGTTATCAGAGGATACCACATGTGACCACTGTTCTCGGTCTAAAATAGCTAAAATCTCTGACACTCGATTTGCTATGAACGTCTTCCAGCGACTTGGATGACTGCTCAGCCAAGCTAAAACGATCGTTGAGTCCGTCCATGCATGTAAGTTTGACTTTGGTACCTTCAAAATTTCTGAGACTTCCTTTAACAACTTCGCTAGTAGAACAGCGCCGCACAACTCAAGCTTCGGGATGGAAATTTGCTTTATTGGAGCTACTTTTGTTTTGCAGGTGATAAGAGTGACCATAACATTTCCAGCTTCATCTACCACGCGCGCATAGACTACAGCAGCATATGCATCAGACGAAGCGTCGCTGAAGCCGTGTAACTCAACTGTGATACACTTTGAATTCGTACCAATCCAGCGCGGCAGACGAAATTGAGTAAGTGCAGTAAGTTCACCTCGGTAAGTACTCCAATCTTTAAAAAGCTTTGCTGGTAACTCCTCATCCCAACCGATTCCTGCTAACCATAGCTTTTGTATGAACATTTTTGCTTTTACGATGACTGGAGCAAGCCATCCCAAAGGGTCATACAACTTTGAAATATCTGAAATAACTTTTCTCTTTGTTACAGGTTCACTGATAGGTGGTAGCTGCACGGAGTATTCGAAGACGTCAGTTCGTCGGTTCCAGGTAAGTCCAAGAATTTTGATAATTTCATCTACTTTGAGTTCCAAATTGCTTGTTGTTTTTTCTGAATCCTTGCTTATTTCGTTCAACAGTGTTTCATTATTGCTTGACCATTTTTGAAGTTCAAATCCCCCTTTGCTTAGTAACTCATTCATTTGTTGAAATATTTGTTTTCCTTCCAGAACTGTGTCACATCCAGTAAGTAGATCATCCACATAAAAATCATTTAGGACTCTTTCAGCTGCCAATGGAAACTGTTTACCTTCATCATACGCGACTTGATGCAGTGCTCTGACTGCAAGATATGGGGCTGAGGCAGTGCCAAAGGTGACTCGCAACAATCGCAGATGTTCGATATCTTCTTGCGGCTTGGATCGCCAGACTAATCGTTGATAATCTACATCTTCGTTAGCTACTTTTATTTGGCGATACATTTTGACTATATCAGCCACCAAGCAAATAGGATGCAGTCTCCACCTCATCGCCAAATGACGAAGATCCGATTGAAGCCTTGGGCCTACCAACAATTCGCTGTTGAGAGATACACCGTTCTTGTCTCGACATGAAGCGTCAAAAACCACTCTCAGTTTGGTTGTTGTTCTGTTGAGCTTCACTACTGCGTGATGAGGTAAGTACACACTTTCTGATTTGTCGATCTCGTCGTTTGGTACTTTTTCCATGTGACCCAGCTCCAGATACTCTGCAATAACATCGGAATAGAGATCCTTGAGATTTGGTGATTTTGCTAATCGTCTTTCTTGCATTAAAAATCTGCTTACAGCTATTTCTCGCGAGTTGCCTGATTTACAGTTCGGATTTTCTTCTTTAAATGGCAGTTTTACGATATAACGTCCAGAAGGGTCTCTTGTGGTTGTTTGTTTGAAAAATTCTTCGCATTTTTGTTCTTCAGGTGTGTGGTGAGGTTTATTGAGAAGACACTGATCAGATTCTATTTCCCAAAAGCGTTTAAGATCAAACTCTTCTTCAACAACTTGAGTGTGTAATGTTGTTATGACGTTTCTACAGCTTAGTTCAGTTTTACTACTTTCAGATACTTGACCAGATAATATCCAGCCGAGTCTGGTGTTTTGAGCTATAGGACACCCTATTGGACCCTTAACTAGTCCCTCAGATAATATCTGACAATACACCTCTGCACCTAACAGCAAGTCTATTTTGTTTGGAACATTAAACTTTGGATCAGCCAACTTCATTTCAGGCATGTGTGACCAAAGTTTCAAATCAACCCGTCGTTCAGGAAGAAATGTGGTAAGTTTGGTAAGAACGTGAGCTTTCACCGTAATTGTGAAGTTCGGATCGTAGATAGATTGCAGTTTGATATTAACTACATGTTTAGAGTTGACTGATGAGTTACAATCACTCCCTACCCCAGTTATAACACTTCTGCTTGCTACTTTCTTCAGCCCAAGTAATTGGACTGCAGACTCCGTCACGAACGAGGCCTGTGATCCCTGGTCCAATAAAGACCTAAGTGTTATGAACAATCCATTGTTTGTTTCAGCTTTTACCAACGCGGTTGCTAAAAGAACTTGACTCTTGTTGTTAGAGAAACAAGTGGTAATGTTGGTTTGCTGGTCAATGTCATCAGATGTTGTTGCTGTTGTCGCAACGACATGATTGGTTCTTGATGGGTTAATTGATTGTGTTGTTTGAACATTGTTGGATGGTACGTTGTTATTGGTTGAATGCAATAAAGAATGATGCTTCTTATTGCAGATTCTACATCTAGTAGGCAAACGACAAGTCATAACCGAATGATTCGCGCCTAAGCAGTTAAAACAAAAATTGTTGGTTTGGACAAAGTTACGGCGAGCTGATAGTGTTTCATTTGCGAATTTCTTACAATTGCCAAGTTTATGATTGTTGTCAGAACAATATGAACAAGAAACCGATATTTTGCTAGGGCTGTTCTCTACTACATGATGGGACTGGGTACTTTTCATAACTTTGGGATCCAAAAATTCGAGAGACCTAAAGCGATGTTCTATGAAATCTAAAAATTGCTTTAATGTTGGTAAATCATTGGTAAGGTCACAAATTTTTGCTTCCCACAGTTTGCGAGATTCATTATCTAATTTTGAAGACAAAATATAAATAAGAATGATGTCCCAATTTTCAGTTTTTACACCTGTGTTAGCTAATGCATTTAGACATTCATTAGTTGTATCAAACAACTCTTTAAGCGCAGTTGAATTTTCTTGAGAAATATTCTTTTGACTGAAAAACCTTTTTAAAATGCAATTAGTTACATACTTCTTATTGTTAAATCTACTTTCCAAAAGGCTCCAACACACAGAATAATTGTCGCTTGTAATTGGTAGATGACGCACCAACTGTTCTGCTTCACCAGTTAGATAGCTTTTCAGGTAATGCAGTTTCTGTACCTTTTGTAAGGAGCTGTTGTTGTGGACCAGTGACAAAAAAAGATCTCGAAATGTGATCCATTCGGCATATTTCCCAGAAAAGCAGGGTATGGAGATCTTGGGCAGCTGCACTCTGACTTGCTCCCCCTCACTTTGTGATGGTTCTTGAGATCTGACTTCTACCTGAATGCACCTTTTCAACTTTTCTTTTAGTTCGGTCTTATATTCGGTGTATAATTCCTCGGTCTTGCTGAAAAAGTCTTCGGTGAAATATTCCGATTCTTGGTACTCTGCATCGCTTACTTCACAAATAATTGTATCGTGAGTTTTGTTGAAGTTTTGCCACAATTCCGATAAATTTTCTAATTTTGTTTCGATGTAACTAGTTGTTATTCTGACACTTGGAGACTTGGCAAAATTTATTTTGGCTTTGATAATTCGGTTGAGAATTTCGTTTTGACTTCTTACTAGCTTCTTCATCATTATTATCGGCTCGAATGACCATGAATAAAGTCCAACAATGTATTTGATGATAAAATATCCTTTATTTTGATTTAGTTTCACAAAAATCAATTCTCCCGTGACACTGTTGATGACATGACAATTTCTTCTTTTTTATTACTTTATGGTATTAAACAGACTGGATTCTTTTACAGACACATTTTTGTGGTAAAAACCTTTCCTTTAATGAAATGAAGTTTAGAACTAGTCTTTTAAATGGTGCCAATATTGGTGGGAAGTGGGGATGCATACGTTTGAAAGTGCTTGTCGCGGGAGGGTCGATTTTTGTGATGACCAGTGTAGTATGTATGAAAATAGTATGAGCAGCGCAGTGTGACGCGGACGCGTGCGATGGGTTCACACCCGCGCAAGTTTTAGTTTAGGCCCTACGTGGACAGTATGAAAGTTACTTGTAAAGTGCCGTCCATTTTTAACCGACTTAAAAAGGTTCAATGTTCGACTCTATGTGTTACATTTACACGATAGATTAAATATCGCGTTACATTCATCTGTACCCGGCCTTTACGCCTTGTATACGTTTCCAGAGGACGAGATCCAGCAGTTCCCGTTCCCAGCCGTGAACATCTCGCTGCCCGCGCCCGCCACGCCCGCGCCCGCGCCCGCAGACGCCACCAACACATCCGATATGAGCATGAGCTTCGACTAACGCAGGTTATACAGCTCTTACTATCAACGCGAGGCAGTTTCAAGAAGTTTTACATCTCTATATCACACAAGATCACAATCGTGCGTCGATAGAGGCAGAGTAAATACAAATGAGTAGGTCATCTTCATAGAAACGCACGGGCGCGGTTTATATGTGAGCGCGCCAATACGTATTGGCGCGCGCTCACATACAAACCACGCTCGGTGCGTTTCTATGAAGATGACCTACTCATTTGTATTTACTCTGTCAATATCGAAGCACGATTGTGAACACACCACAAGAAAGGCAGTTTTCAGATGACGCGTTTTTACACGCGCGTTTTGAATCGCGCGATTGTAATTCTTAGGTGAATCGCGCGACTGCATGTGGACAGAATATATGAACGTCTAGTACCTCACTATCGCGCGATTCGAAACTCGCGAGTAAAAACGCGTCAGACAGGCTCAAAACGACACGCATTCTATAAAAGGGCGAGCATTGACCAAGTAACTTTGCCAATACCTCCGATATAAGCATGAGCTTCGACTAACGCAGGTTATACACCTCTTTGTGTCAACGCGAGGCAGTCTCAAGAAGTTTAAGGCTGGTTTTAGTGTCACGCGGACCGTCAGCCGATCTGTATGAACTGCTAGGGAGCGGAGCGGTTCCTCCGGACCGCATTACTCTAAAACGCTCCCTAGAAGTACAGATCGGCTGTGCGGAGCGATCCGCACTGACAGTCCGCGTGACACTAAAACCAGCCTTAGGCCAGGAACGCACTACGCGGTTGGCCGGAGTGCTGTCAGCCGTCCGGTTAACCGCAGTCAAAAACGTGTATTGAAAATTAGTTTTAGAGCGCCTTCACTACGTCACAAGTAGTGCGGCAGCAGCGTGACTATAGCAGCGCGACAGACGCGCTGCCGATAATTTCATACTATGTGACAGCGGATGCCTGCCTTCACATTATGAAAACGCCGCTGCCGCGCTGCTTGCTCGTAATGTGAAGGCGCACTTATGTCATGCGGCTGTTTCAATACATATTTTTAACCGGACGGCTGACCGCATTCCGGCTGGCCGCATAGTGCGTTCCAGGCTGGCCGCATAGTGCGTTCCAGGACTTCCTTTTTCTATCAACTCCCGATCTCCAAGAAGGCGATACAAAGTTTTCCATCGTGAAAACTGCTAACTATGCAACGGAACAGCTAACTGAATAACTATGCAAGCTTAGCTAAAATTATTGCTCTTGGTCTGCAACTGTCAAGTCAACAAAATTTAATCAGACACTAATATTACATACTTTGTCTAGATATACCTACTGCCCGATTATTTAGATTATAGCCTAAGAAATTGATTACACCTACTTATGTTTAAGTGTAAATTGTGTAAATATCTAGTTTGATTGCACTGGATTGCAATTTTTTTGTGTATAAGCAAGTAAATATAGTGTAAATAAACTTAATTTTGTTTGAATCTAAAATCTCAACACCTACCGAGTTAAAGGGAAATGGGAATTATCGATTAATATTACAATTACTTTTTATATAATTTATTTTTCCAATAACAGTTTACAATATATTTTAAAATCAAACAAGCTTTGGAGATTAAAATCAACATTTCATGTATTATGAAACCCTAAAATTCTATAAAAATCACCATGATTATACATTTTAAAAGCCCTTTAAAACGTTTAAAAGTATCGCGATGGACAGCCTACGATGGGCTACTAACAGGCACCGTAAAAATTGATTAAAATCACCTAACTAGTACAGGCACATGTAAAATTTATCTATTGAACAACTACGCGGAAGGCGTATGATAATATTCGTATAAAATCGATAAATTGTAATATGCATATCATTGATATAGTTATTGATCTACAATATATTAGCAAAAAATAAAGTTACTCCAGTGATTATCGTATACAAAACAAGATTGTGGCGCTACTTCATTAGACTATACATTGGGGTAATGTTCAAAATGGAATGTATAATTAAGACAGCAGCCACGAGTTTAATCAAAATATTCTAAATAATTTAAATATTGCTCAATATTCTGTCATTGCGCAAAATCACGTCTTTTACAGTCTTTTAGCGTCCCAAATTATTCACTATAAATATTTGCTTACAGACGTGAAAACATACAAAATAATACTTAAAATTTAGCTAACGAAATACAACACTTCACAACGACAGAACATGGCACAACCGTTACTAGCATCGACTGCGAACCTTCAAAGGATTCTGAACTTAAAAACTTATACAGAAGAATTTAAATTATAACTTGGCAGAAAATTACTAAAACCTGGTCCGTAAGCACGAAGAATTTTGTCTAATGACCCCTAGCTACCCATCCTTATCACTCGCGCGTAATTATATTGCTGTCGCGACTGTGCGACTGGCACNAATTACGTCACACTATCAACGAATTCAAAGTCGCTGAACCAGTAAGACACAACACTAAAACTTTCGTGCACAAAGATCTCCAATCCTGCGAAAGTGTATTTCTGCGCATCGACTCCGGCCGAAGATCACTGCAAGCGCCGTATGAAGGCCCGTATCCTGTGCTACGTCGAGATGACAAAGTATTTCGTATAAAACTACCCGACCGCGAAGTCAACGTCTCGATCGATCGACTAAAGCCTGCTTACACACTCAACGAAGACATTAACGATCACAACATCACTACCGANAATGCCGCAGGCTGCAGTGGAGGTACTCTTGGACAAGGCGTGGGCGCATATTCGCTCGCAAGAGCGACGGTGCGCAAGTGTTTCAACTCCGGTCGCTAGGAGATCTTGAGCGGGTGTTTGGTTCATCGTCAATATGACTAATTGAGACCTGCAATTATAACAAATTATTTGACATATGTGCGAGAATGATAAATTCAACTGATTTAATTTTCAAAAATATACTATTACCTGTATTTGTTTCTCTTGTAATTGATGTTATAGTTATTAATATAATTTATGTTTTGTATCAATTCCAAATGCATTGGTGTGCCATAGAAACAGTTGTGATGGATGGAATTAATTGTAATNGCTTGTAATTGGTAGATGACGCACCAACTGTTCTGCTTCACCAGTTAGATAGCTTTTCAGGTAATGCAGTTTCTGTACCTTTTGTAAGGAGCTGTTGTTGTGGACCAGTGACAAAAAAAGATCTCGAAATGTGATCCATTCGGCATATTTTCCAGAAAAGCAGGGTATGGAGATCTTGGGCAGCTGCACTCTGACTTGCTCCCCCTCACTTTGTGATGGTTCTTGAGATCTGACTTCTACCTGAATGCACCTTTTCAACTTTTCTTTTAGTTCGGTCTTATATTCGGTGTATAATTCCTCGGTCTTGCTGAAAAAGTCTTCGGTGAAATATTCCGATTCTTGGTACTCTGCATCGCTTACTTCACAAATAATTGTATCGTGAGTTTTGTTGAAGTTTTGCCACAATTCCGATAAATTTTCTAATTTTGTTTCGATGTAACTAGTTGTTATTTTGACACTTGGAGACTTGGCAAAATTTATTCTGGCTTTGATAATTCGGTTGAGAATTTCGTTTTGACTTCTTATTTGTTTCTTCATCATTATTATCGGCTCGAATGACCATGAATAAAGTCCAACAATGTATTTGATGATAAAATATCCTTTATTTTGATTTAGTTTCACAAAAAACAATTCTCCCGTGACACTGTTGATGACATGACAAATTTCTTCTTTTTTATTACTTTACGGTATTAAACAGTCGGCGAGACGATCGTGAAGCATTTTGTATCCATAGCCATAATTAAATGAGTTTTGGGAGCGGATTATTTGACATCGAGCTTCAGGATGTGTCCCATCTTTTGAGGTGTCTCGTGTCTCTGTTTATCAACAGGACTTTAGGCCAGTGCGTTGTTACGTTTGTCGACTCTGCTTGTACTTTTTGCTGGAGGCGTTCACTTCCTCCTTCACAGTCGGCATCTCAACGTTTCTCACAAACCAGAGCGCGAAGCGATATTAATGAATCCGTCGAATCCGCAGCAACGGCCGGCGGGCGGCGCGTCGGAGGCGGGGACGGCGGGGTCGGAGGCGCGCGGGCCCAGCACGCCGCCCGAGGCGCCCAGCTCGCCCGACGCCTACGACCCCTTCGAGCCCACGCGCTCCGCCTCGGGCTCGCCGGCGCGCGAGCCGCCGCCCGAGCCGCCGCGCGCCACCATGACGCTGGAGGCGGCGCAGAAGACCAACCTGTCCGCCGACGACGTCCTCGACCGCCGCCCGCTGTCGCCCATGGAGAAGGTCATGGCGCTGCTGCAGTCCACGCGCGACGTGTCGCCCGAGCCGCCGCCCGAGGCGCGCGCCGAGCCGCCGCCCGCGCCCGCGCCCGCGCCGCCGCGCATCGTGCTGCCCGACGCGCCGCCCAAGCTGTTCCTGGCCAAGCCCTCGCCCATCAAGAGCGACCCGATCAAGCCGATGCAGGTGAGAGACGTTGTATGTGCCGCTCCTCGTTCCTTGTTGTTCGTGTGCCCGACCCTCGCTGACGCGTGCGTGCGCAGGCGCGGCCGGTGCGGCGCGCGGAGTCGGAGGCGGGCGGCTCGTCGCCGTACTCGCCGGGCTCGTCGGACTTCGGCGAGCTGTTCGAGCCGCCGCGGCGCCGCGACGCCTTCGACGCGCTGGCCGAGCGGCCCCGCGCGCGCGCGCACCCCGCCAAGGTGCCCGTCAAGCTCAACAAGAAGAAAGGTGACGAGCCGTATTATTGTCTTGTGCTAATTTTCACAAAAACGTATTCGTAAACATTGCTTTTAATGTAACTTTTAACCAAGTTTCGCTTATGATACTGATAGATTCTTCCGCTTGCGTGCCGGTCGATCGCAAACGAGCGTTGTCAAATATTTATCTGCGCAGGAAAAACGCAAGTGGGCGTGAAGATCGACGAGGACAACCTCAAGATCCTGGACGACCTGCCCAGCTCCGCCGTCGAGATGCAAGTCAAGAGCAAGGTCCGCTACCCCAGCGTCTGTACTCCTTCATTACTTCCGAGGCGTGTGCGTGGCGATGGCTGAATGAGGCGTGCTCACTTTTTTTTGCCGACCCACCCGATCGTTCGTTCCGTTCGTGTAGCTACGGAATTCAGTTTTTTAATTCAAATGAAAAAAAAGTCCAGTTAACCAATTTCAAGGTCGACGTCGACAACGACGTCACCATTATTTTTTCTATTCAGAAAGAGCTCCGAACGGCAGTGGTCACTAACAAGTTCTTAATGAAGTAGCCCATTAAAAGGGAGTCTTATGCCCGTTTTCACCATCGATCCCTAATTTTTAAGTGACCCCTATGGTAACACATAACAGTAATTTTGTATTCATAGGGGTCATTTAAAAATTAGGGATTGATGGTGAAAACGGGCATTAGAGTCCGTCGGGTGTAGCCCTCTGTGTGGTTGCAGTTCCTGAAGAAGCTGAACCGGCAGGAGCGCGTGGTGGAGGAGGTGAAGCTGGTGCTGAAGCCGCACTACAACAAGAAGCGCGTCACCAAGGACCAGTACAAGGACATCCTGCGCCGCGCCGTGCCCAAGGTACGTGACGGCGCCCGCTCGCTACTGACCAAACGACCGTTCGCACTTTGCTCGAGTACAGTTTATGTAATTAGTGGTATTCATATGAAGCCAAACAAATAGTAACCCACTCACCCACTCTACTAAAATGTTTGTGTTCAGACACGTTTAGCTCCTAAATGACATCACTCGACTGAAGCGAACGAACGAGGCTAACGATGTGTTGGTGTGCGCAGATCTGTCACAACAAGTCGGGCGAGATCAACCCGACCAAGATCCAGGCGCTGGTGGAGGCGTACGTGAAGAAGTTCCGGAAAAAGAACAAGCTCGGCCTGGCGTAGCCCGCCCCGTGCGCTTCAGAGGATTATTGTAATTATAATTTATGTACTGACGATGTATTTTACTTAAATCGTTTTATTTAAATGAATTATATAGAATAAATCATGAATTAGTTCATTGGCAGTTCAAATTTTGGAGGACCTTTTCCCCGTTCTAAATTATTAAAGTGACGTTGTGTCACGAAGATGATAAGTGTCGTCGAATAAGAAGTGTAAAGTCTATGCTGTTCCATAGTTCATTTAGCAATAATAAATAAGTTAACATTATTTTTAATATTGCAATTTCTGTTCCCACGAGAGTTGGTGATTGACCCTATTTTCCTGTTTGTGTAATAAATTATTATCTACTTACATAAGTTTTATAGAGGTGACTAAATAGAATAAAAATAGATATCGGTTATCATATACTACTGTGTGTAAATAAAATATTTATATATTTTTTATACCTTTATTCTGCACAAAGTAAAAATAACGAAACATAGACCATCACTAGGTAAAATAATATTGTCATGGATGTCCGATTAAACATAAATTCTAGCAACATCTTATTGCAGAGTAAAAAGTAAAAATTTAAATCACATTATAGGAATAAACTGATGCATAGCATATAAATTTATGTTGAAAATGTCTTACATTTCTTTGGTTATCAAAATATACAAACTAGTGTATCTGCATCTAAAACTAGCATGATTATATAAAATACATATCTGTGACATACTTGTATGTGAGGAGCTACGATGAATCTACCATTATAGTATACTAACTACACATACATCTAATCTACTATGAGGGAATTCTACTTCCACTACTTACATAGAAATGATACAAAGCACATAATAATAATTATCATAGGTTGGTGTCCGGAGTGAACCGATGGAATTGACAAAAATATCCCTTCTACAAAACAAATTCGATGGCGGTCAGGCTCGAGTACCTAACGCGACGGCCGCGGCCGGGCGGTCAGACGGCGGGCGCGAAGCCCACGCGCTTGTTGGCCACGTCGAACTCGGTGTAGTACTTGCCGATGAACACGTCGCCCAGGATCCACAGCGGCCCGTTGGGCGGCGGGATGTCCAGCCCCATGAAGCCCGACAGGCACACCGTCTTGCCGAACTGCGACACCTGCCGGGGCAACGGAACACGTGGATATTGTTACCCTGGCTCAAATCTTTCAGCGAATTCTGAGTAGATTACAAATCGATTGAATTACGATTATACGGAACTAGCTTTTGGTCGCGGCTTCACCCGCGTGAAATTTAGTGCCACAGATTCGCATAAATTATAGCCTATAATATGTTAATCTGGGTTACACAAATAATAATACTGTAAAGTTTCAACCAAATCCGTTCAGTATTTTTTGCGTAAAAGAGTAACAAACATCCATACAAACTTTCACCTTTATAATAATATTATTAGGATGTGTTCATACAGGGTGGAAACGATGAGTGATCTCACTCGATTATTTCTGAACTATACAAGATATCAAAAAAAATGTTATGGATCCTGAAAGTGCTTCATGAGCTCTAAATGGTATCAATAATATATAGGTTACAGAATAAACTGGATCTATCAAAAAATTCAATGTTTCCATCTTCCACCCTGTAAATCTGTATACATCACTACATGAACATAGAAAAATCCTATTTTTTAAATGTAAAATAAAGAAAAGGCTTTGAAAACTATAAATTAAAAAAATCGTCTACGTGTGAACGGTAACGTCTATGATGTATGCGCTACTGTTTTTTTTTTTGCCAGGTAAGACTTAGCCTAGGCGCAGACCACCGACTTTTCGTTGGCCGATACCAAATCGGTGTAATGTGCGTACTTTCATACATCTCCATACCGATCAACAGCCCGACCCAATTATTGGCCAACAAAAAATCGGTGGTTTGCGCCTAGGCTTACTGCAAAAAAGACTTGCAGTGCAATGATTTTTATAAACATCAGTGCGCATACAGTGCGGAGCGCGGCACTCACCCGCAGCACGTAGTCGGCGCCGTCGAGCGTGAAGGTGGCGCCGGCGAGGCTGAAGGACACGGGCGGCAGGCGCGGCACGAGCGCGCAGTCGAACACGTACTGGCCGAACGCCATCGGCGACGCGCCCAGCGCCTGGTTCAGCGCCGCCACCTCGGCCGCCGGCCCGCCGATCAGCGACGTGCCCGTGTCCGCGATCGCCTGGCAGCCCTGCGGAGTGCGGACCGCGCGAGTCAGACGCCGCGATGATGAGCTCGGACGCGGGCCACAGACATGGATAGATGCCGCATGTCAATTTTATTAGATAATATGAAAACGAGCGTGCCAATGAGGGTTTTCGCGATTGAAAAATCCGCCAGATGGCGGGACGTGGATGTAGGGTCTGACTGCTGCGTGATTGGTGGATTTTGACATATCTGTCAGTGTCATGTCAAAAACAACCATCTGGTGGATTTTTCAAACGCGAAAACCCTCATTTCTTAACGTCATTTGTGTCATTTTGGCGACTTTTAGTGATTGCCGCAATGTAAAAATAATCATACTGCACTCGTAGTCACAAAAATTATCCTAGTACCTGCCCCTCTAGATAAGTTGCACTTTTTGATAGAATCGAAAATCGAATCCGTTGTAATTCCATACAAAAAAGGCCTTTCGACTGGTTTGCGATTATAATGTGTACTATGTCTAGAACTCTAGATCCACTGATGACCTACTTTCATAAAATAAAAACTAAGTCAAAATGTAAAACAGCGTAATCTTGCCAATACGCTTTGTTTCATAAAGCTAGGTCAGGTACTTTTGAATTTAAATAAGATTTTCCAAACGACCCGTTTTCTTTACGATCTAATGTAACGATTGACCAAATCGATGTTAAAATAACGTCTACGTCACTATACCATGTATGTCCATTTGGACATATCGGAACGTCACGCTTTGACGAGCTGCTTGCAGTATCTATGGTATCCATGTCTGTGGGCGCAGTTAGTGCGGGCAGCGAGCACTCACGTTGGCGCAGAAGGCGTGGTCGCCGGCGCGCACGCCGTCCATCCGGAACTGCCAGTAGGCGGCGCGCGTGACGGGCACGTACGTGAAGTTGCCGCGGTAGTGCGCCGGGTCCGAGCCGCCCAGGATGATCTCGCCGCCCTGCGCCGCCGCCGGGTCCCTGAAGCGATATCAACGAATGTTATTATTTAAACGGTGTGGTGCGCGAGACGCGCCCCTGACAGAATGCTCGTGAGAGCTGAATAAAGAAAATGTATTACAAATAATAAAGGAAAATGGAAATACACTAACCTATTCAGGTAAAAGGAGAACACGGGCTTGAGCAGGTCCTGGCGCACCATGTTGTCGAACACGGGCGTCACGCCGTCCACCGAGATGCTGCAACATGCGAGCGTTAGTACAATCGAAGCGTGCGCACTACGTACTATAATTATTTGTGATTATCAGAATACATCGTCAGTAGTTGCGGTCACACAAAGCGTGCAACGGTCAATGACAGTTATCGAACTCGCTTCAGCGCATAATTCGATCGATGATGAGTGGATGTTATTGAAATCTAAATTCTATTTAGTCGGTCAGACAGGTAATAAAAAAATATTGGACACGTGTTTTTTCATAATCGAATAATTATTGAAATTTTGTCACCTAGGCTATTATGACTCATAATTAGGAAGAGAACTGTAGACGTAGAGTACAAAGAGGCGAGGCGCGCTCACCTGCTGAAGGCCATGCCGAGGATGCCGTCGAACTTGGCGGCCACGAAGGCCAGCCCGGGCTCCGACAGCGCCTCCGCGAACGTCTGCTTCTGCACGCGGATGCCGCCCACCTGCCGACACGCGCCGAGCACATGACCCTCGAATATTGACACTAATGAACGATTCATTTGCTTTGGATCGTTAACTCACGGTGACGTCGTCGGTGGACAGGAAGCCGGAGAGGCTGCCGGAGCCGTAGTGGATGGCGAACTCCGTGCCGTTCTTGATGTAGGTCTTCGATTTGTTGCTGTCATACTTGTTGTGCAACACTGCATAGAACGGAAATATAAGATAGATGAAAAACCACAAATTAAGCCTTGGACCACGAAAAATGAGGAACCCTATTGACGATTTACCACTATATCTGTCAATCCGTAGTACTAAAATGTAGGTTAAGCCAATCTGACTCTAGTCTAACGGCCAATGAAGGCTAGCGCAGCACGGGGCCCGCTGTACTCACGGCAGGCGATGTTGGTGTAGTGGCACTTCTTGGACGGCACCCACAGGTTGGAGGAGCCGGTGTCGAACACCACCTTGAAGCTCTGCGGCGGCGAGCCGATGGTGATGGGCCCGTAGTACTGCGCCTGAAGGTAGAGGCGACTCGTGAGCGGCATGAAACGACCGTGCTACCTAACAGTTTACATTTCAGTTTCAATAATGACTCCTGACGATTCAGGAAACGTTCTGAATGAAAACAAAATTATAGAGAACGAGATTTATTTTTATAAAGCATAATCAAAGCAAACAATTTTTTTTCCTTTGTTTCAAAAATTATAATCATCAGAAAAACACTGCTGGATAATGCAGTAATTGAGCAATACTTTGCTCATTGTGTTGGATATTTCTAGGTAAACCAACTAATTGGATTGTAGATGTAGGCATGGAGGCGAAGCGAGCGGCAGCGCAGCCGTAAGTCATGTCTGATGTTGATGGTTCATCATTATTATTATCTTCAGGGTGGATGGATGGACATAAAATATGTAATTTGCACAAAAACTACTAGACAGATTTATATTTTAAAAAAAGTTACTTTACATCTGAATAGGGCTGGCTTACTGGCTTAATTGGGTAATTTAGTTAAGCCTATTTTTATTTAAATCTATGCTGACAAAGGCGAAGCATAAGCTAGTATATTAATTTTATATTAAAAACAAAAAATCTCGATTTTCATCAAGAGTTATTCCCAAAGAACTTATATCAGATAAAATAATTTAAAGGGTGTAATGGTATTGTTATTTAATTAGTACTTATTATTATCAACATTATTGTCCCTGTAATGACAATAAATGTAGACAATACAACACTCAGGAAACAGGTAATTAATTAAGAGTTAATAATAGCAGTACTTGCTTTGAAATAACTTGAAAATGTTTTAGATATAAACCAACATAATAGTCATAAAGTATAAGAAACTTAATATCTTTAAACAAGTTAAATACATATTTACAAGATATATGGTAAATAAACTAGTCAAGAGTACACTTAAATAATATATATATTTGTGATTATTTACCTACAGCGCAGTGATAACGTACCAGGTTATCAACACTCACTTGTTAGAGTGACCGAACTCAATGACCTCAAACTGGAACTCTTGATAACACAACAAGAGTCACTAAATAATAATAATATGTATTTTAGGCAAACAATAAAATGTTTATTTACAAATTGAGGCTTATGAAACTTCTTTGAGAATAAACACTTGTCAATGGATGAAACCTAAGGGACCTTATTAATAAATTTAATTGCATAAAACATGCTTGTTAGTAGAGTATTTGTTGGATTCACCTCTCCTAAGCATTGTAGCAGACTATTTGAGTCGCAATTCAAATACTTGGCATGCTACTATTATTTTAATGATAGGCATTGTTTCCAATAGATGATTGCTGCTATATTTAATAAAAGGTCTTTTAATTATAATTAGACATATAAATTATTATGAGCAATAAATAATGGACACATTTAATAAACAGGCAGGAATAAATAAACTATGTATGCAAGGAGTGAAATCCTTGCTGGTTAATGAATGTGCAAGAACCAGTTTGTATGGATTCAGGCAGCGCAGAACCAGTTGTTGAAATCCTTGTGGGAAGCCTTTGCCCTGCGTGGACGGCTCTAGGTGTGGGTGATACGGTGTGTGGACTCACATCGAGGTAGTTGGAGAGCGGCTCGGGCGCCGGCCCGCGCGCCGCGAACTTCATGCGCAGCGCCGCCAGCTCCGTGCCCACCTCGTGCAGGTGCTGCCGTACGCTCCGAAACCGGTACAGAGGTATTCTGAACGGAAAAAATACACAACGCTCACTACAAATCTTTTATGATTTTATTACAGGCTGTATAAAACCCGAGGTAAATTTTCATTAACCGTGATGCTGCAGTGACAATGCTCACCTCATAAAATCTGCCGCACAAGCGGTAATGCACACGAAGAGGAGGAATAATAATTTCCCCATGATCGCTCTGCCAAACGCGGCTCTGGAATGCAAGAAAACAATGTAAAAGTGCGTTCCAAGCTCAAAACAAATAATGAATCGCATAGTATCTTACTTTCAACAGAATGTTACAAATCACCGCATAGAAATAATTATGGACGCAATAGTCTTCGTCCGCAGCGAAAAACGATTGCCAAATGACTAATCAAATTTAGTTCCACAACCAATGAGCAAAAGCAAAGTTCAGAAAAATTTCAATTCAACCATCAACAAGTAACAGCAAGTGACAGTTCAGCTTTTTAATAGGAAAAAAAACAACACTGGCATCTTATCTTTTAAGCCATGTTATGCGGAATTTTTTGATTCATAAGTTTCTCGACCGACTCCAATAATTTATAAAATAGCACTTTTTTAAGTAACGCGCAATGCGGAACGCATTAGAACATCAAAAACTTTGTTCTCAACAAAGGTAGTGGTCGCAGGTTAGATCTAATAATATTGAGGCAATCAACACCACAATCAACACAAGCAATGATTTGTATCTTGTCGAGTTTGCGTCTATAGTATTCCGATTGATTTGTGTTATTTAAATATTGTGAACCACAACTTATTTATTTGCGCTAATATACCTAACGTTTAACGTACCTTTTCTTTTTTTATATTTGACGTTCATAAGTGCCACTTGTGGTCTAAAATTGAATAAATATTTTTGATTTTGATTTTAGAAAAAACCTGGGGCCCTTTGGGCACTTTGGGGTAGGGGGCCAGTGGCGTTTTGCCTTGCCAGCCGAAGGTGTATGTGTGTACGATGAATACATCGAAAATTGCAGCTTTAACGCTATAAAATATCATCCTGTAGCTAATTTTTTTTCTTATACTACATAACATAAAGTTACAGGGATTCCTATCGGTCGCTGTTAGCCTAGGCACAGACCACCGATTTTCAGTTGGCTGATTGATGAGTTGGGTCGGGCGGGCTATCCTATTGATCAGTATAGAGATGTATGATTCTTCATACAAATTAGCTCGCGGCCAACTAAGTCGGTGGTCTGCGCCTAGGCATGATTCATTTTATGCACTACTGTATCTAGGCATGTTTTTGCCCGCGGCTTCACCCGCGTGAAATTAGTTTGTCTTGTCACATAAATTATAGCCTATAATGTTATTCTCGGTTATAAACAATAATACTGTAAAGTTTCATCAAAATCCGTTCAGTAGTTTTTGCGTGAAAGAGTAACAAACATCCATCCAGACATCCAAACTTTCGCATATTAGTAGGATTTATCTAATGTGCAATAAATGAATAAACAAAAAAAAATATTATATCCGTGGGTCTAGACAAAGTGCCATTATAATCGCAAACCAGTCGAAAAGTGGTCGAAAAGCCCCTTTTTTGTATGGAATTTGACGGATTCGATTTTCGATTCGATCAAAAAGTGCGTTTTGTCTAGGGGGGCAGGTCAAGTAACTTCACTCACACGATATCTTTATGCAATTTAGAGATTAGTTTTTTTTTAATTTCAATTACTCTAAAATAATTTAGATAACATCTGACAGTAAGCCTGTTCCCTGCAATATGAAATCCCCGTTGACGTTGTCACTTAGTACGCAATAAAGATTTGAATTTGAATTGTCAACGGGGAATAGTAGAATAAGCCAATTACTATTCTGTGGTTGAGCCTAATTCGGGTTAGTTAGCCTAGTTAGGCCTAGTTGATGGTTGATCAAGGAAACATGAATAAGTCATACTTAATTACATAGTATATGGTTGGTTAGGTGTGATGATGACCCGTAAAAAAATAGACTTATATGTAATGAAAAGCCTATATTTCTTCACTCGTTGAAGAGTCTTGATCCGTTTCTTGTGATTCGTCCTCCGTGTTGCCTGTCTCTTCTTCGGAGCCGCCGTTGACGGCGGGGGCAAATCCGATGCGCTTGTTGCCAAAATCGAACTCGGTGTAGTACTTGCCGATGAACACGTCGCCCAGGATCCACAGCGGCCCGTTGGGCGGCGGGACGTCCAGCCCCATGAAGCCCGACAGGCACGTGGGCTCATCGGACCGGCCGTCCATCTGAAAGTCGCACCGATCAAAACTAAATTTCGCCGGCGATATTCATTCATAGATTTTCTCGCCAATATTTCAATGAGGGTTTTCGCGAATGAAAAATCCGCCAGATGGCAATACGTAGACGCGAGGTCCGAATGCTGCATGATTGGTTATTTTTGACATGATATCGACAGATATGTCAAAATCCACCAATCACGCAGCAGTCAGACCCCACATCCACGTCCCGCCATCTAGCGGATCTTCTCATTTCGGAAGCCTGTGAATGAACACGTTCGGGGCGCACCACGATGACGTAGTCCTTGGGCTCCAGCGTGAAGCGGCGGCCGGCGAGCGTGAGGGTGACGGGCGGCAGCGCGCGCAGGGCGCCGCAGTCCAGCTCGTAGTGGCTGCGGCCGGCGCGCCGCGCGCCCAGCGCCGCCTGCAGCCGCGCCACCTCCTCCGCCGGCCCGCTCACCAGCGACGTGCCCGTGTCCACGATCGCCTGGCAGCCCTGCGGTCCGGTGTGTTTCGTTAATTCATTTTGTATTCGCCAAATTATTATCATTGTGCCTAATACCACAACATAAATGTTCTGCTAAAATTATACAGCGTGAGTCAAAATTTTTTGCATCGAACCGTTTACGAGAAATTGAGCGTTACTGTTTGGAAAACATTACAAAAACTCGACGTTCTAGTATCTAAATATTTACGCTGGGTAAAATCTGTTAAGCTACATACAAAAAGCACCGGATACTTATAATTTACTATCGATAAAGTTACTGTTTTTAGATGGTGCAACTCAGAAAAAAGACAGATAATGCATCGATTGCCAGTGTTAAATTGTTATGTTAGTGAGTAAGTATTTTTTTTATTTGTTTGTGCAAGTGTTAAAATTTTTCGTGATGCCATTTAAACGTGCGTCAACGCTCCGATTCACGTTTTCTGCCTGCCAAACTGTATTGGATTTGTGTCGTATTTACCGTAAGAACAGATGTTTCACGTGAAGCGATTCAAATGAAATAATTTCAAGGCAACGAGACACGTGTTTTACATCAGTCCTCTCCGTTACTCTTCGCTGAAGGAAACGGATACTAGAATAATTGCCGGGTGTACTCACGTCGACGCAGAAGGCGTGGTGCCCGACGCGGATGGCGTCCACGGCCAGCTGCCAGTAGTAGGCGCGCGACAGCGGCACGTAGTGCATGGGGCCGCGGAAGCGCGCCGGGTCCGAGCCGCCCAGGATGAGCTCTCCGCCCTCTTTCGCGGTTTGGTCCCTGGGTTAACGTTCATGATGACACTCATTTTATGCAATACTCTTTTTTTTAAATGTAGGCATCCATTCAGCGATTGGCTTGCAGTGACACACGAGTGCGTCGTGCGGTATCTGTTCCGCAGTTGTTGTCCACTCAAAGCGGCCTAACGATTTATCGGTGGTCTCATATTCTTAACATGCTTCACGGTAGTTACAGTATAATAAACAGAGAAGAATAAATTTCAAAGGTTTACCTGTTGAGATAGAAAGAGAACACAGGTTTGACCAGGTCCTGGTTCACCATATTTTCGAACACGGGCGTCAAGCCGTTCGCGGACAAGCTGCAAAACAACAAAACACGTTAAAGTATTCGAAATTTAGACTAAACACGCTTCCTTGTCGCGGCGCTCACCTAGCGAAGGCCATGCCGAGGATGCCGTCGAACTTGGCGGAGACGAAGGCCACGGACGGCTGGCGCAGCGCCTCCGCGAACGTCTGCCGCGCCACGCGCAGACCCTGCACCTGCGCACACACACACACACGTCTGAGGTCGAAAATCCTTGGACATTTTACATTGCGCGATCTAGTCACAAAGTTAGCAAAGCCACTAAAGGTATGGGACAGATTAAAAAGGTTTAGATCATTTATGCACAGAGATGCTGTGGTACAATAGTGGTACAATAAAGAGAAGCGCAGCTCATCTCAACAGCGCAGCTGGCATATAAATAAATAATGAAGCACTCACGGTGACGTCGTCGGTGGACAGGAAGCCGGAGAGGCTGCCGGAGCCGTAGTGGATGGCGAACTCCGAGCCGTTGGAGCGGTGCGTGTGCGACTTCTTGCTGTCGTACTTCCTGTGCAGAACTGGACAAAATTTACGTTTAATCAAATATTACGTATCGTTCTCCGTTGACTCATCTTTTGGTACCAAAACCGAAAACCCAATGGTGTACTAATGCTGTTGGCATGTGCGCGCCGATCGGTAGGGAAGAATTGGTATACTAACGGCAGGCAAGGTTGGAGTAGTGGCATTTCTTGGACGGCACCCACAGGTCGGACGAGCCGGTGTCGAACAGCACTCGGAACGTCTGCGGCGGCGAGCCGATCGTGATGGGCCCGTAGTATTGCGCCTGCGCAAGACGCCATGATTAGTCTAAGGAAATGCGTTCAACCTTATCTAATTTATTGACAGATTTTAACAGATTTGTTATTGTATGAAAGAAATGAATTTTAGTTATTAATATTTTTTCTATTATCTTCTTATTTATAAACTAGCTTTCCGCCCGCGGCTTCGCCCGCGTGGAATTTTGTCTGTCACAGAAAAACTTTATCGCGCGCATCCCTGTTTCAAAAACCGGGATAAAAACTATCCTATGTTCTTTCCCGGGACTCAAACTATCTCTATGCCAAATTTCATCAAAATCGGTTGCGAGGTTTAAGCGGGAAAGCGTAACAGACAGACAGACAGACAGAGTTACTTTCGCATTTATAATATTAGTTGGGATTAGTTGGGATTGGGATTTACATCACTAACAAGATGACACCAGCAAAATATTACTAAAAACAATAAAATTTGATTACATTCTAAATGTAAATTTAACCATAGGTCTCGATATAAAACAACAAGTGAAGAGTATGGATAATGATTTTAAACAGCGCACTCACATCGAGGTAGTTGGAGAGGCGGACGGGCGTGAGGTCGTCGGCGCGCGCGTTTAGCAGGCCCAGGTCCAGCCCCGCCTCGTGCATGAGCCGCCGTATGCTGGGGAACCGGAACAGCGGCAGTCTGCGCACGGACCACACATCAGTATAGGCTCCGCCCCGTACCGTGTATCACAACTAGCTTGTCGAAGTGTGGAATACCTCTGCCACTATTGTTTTGCTAAGTTAGCATATTTTTGCAGTAAAAATATTGTGGAACACTGTCCCATTATTAACAACTCTTACCTCATAAAGTTAGCCGAGCAACCGGCGATAAATATGAAGAGGATAAAATTTATTATTATTTTTCCCATTATTAAAAACAGATCCGAAATTATCTTCGAGTTATCGATGTAAAAATATTTTTAAAGCTCCTCGTCTATAAACAGCGACAGCTAAAAACCAAATGGGAACCAAAAGGTGCGCGCGCGCCAAAATTGAACTGTCAGACGTTTCAGCTTTTTAATATAATCTTCGAAATAAATAACAGCACTGGCTTCTTATCTTTTCAGCCATAGTAGCTTTTTCTTTAGCCGTTCCGTGGCATTTATGTATTCAAAATAATCATACCGTGTTATATAATCCTTGAAATAATTATTAAGGATTTTAAATCGATGAAACGATCACGAAACGAGTAGCGTGCCATCATACACGTGTTAAGACAAAGTCACGCTTAAATAAGTTGAAATTAAATGCTTGTCGTTTATAGGTTCCAGTCCGATTTATTTGACGGGATAATTAGGTAGGTACTTAGTTATTCGTTTTTACAAGCTTTTACATAACTTGCGTTGTATTGATTGTTTAAGTCAAATTGTGCAACAGTAATTCAGAATGGAAAAAATGTCAATTTTATTCTTGTTTTAAATATACGACGATTGAATAATTGAAATATGCATAATCTATTGTCCTGCGATAAGCACATGCATTTACTGAAAGTTATAAAAGTGTTGAGTTAAGAGAAAAATAAATATGTAGTATGAATTTTTAGTTTATTTTAAAAAGATCACAATCATAAAACCATTTCATATAATTTGTCGGTAGTCTTTAGTTTTTAAATGAATAACAATTAATTTAATTTGATTTACACACATAATAATTAAATCAATATGTACTACCAAGACAACCAATCTCGCAATATTACTTTTATGTGGTTGATTATGGCCAAATGTACACGTACGATCTTAAAACAACACAATACTCGTACAGGCTAGGCGGCAGTACAGCCGACTTTAGTTAGTAATATACTACGTGTTCAGCGCACTCCTCGCTGCACTAAGGCACAAGATCTCGCAAAATGACCCCTTGTACAGAAATCTAAGATATTCACTATAAGAGCTATTTCGCATTACATCCGATCCGTATCCATGAAAATAAGGTCCAGCCAGAGTAGTCACAGAACAATTTCTGTACGGTAGCGTACACTGAACACACTAGATTACATTTCCGTCTTTTCTAGAGTTAGCTAGTTATTTCTCTAGATCCGTATTTTGACGGATTCGGATTAGAAGTAATGCGAGACCAGCTCTAAGTACGATTTAAGTTAATTAGTAACGTACTAATCGAATGGGAGTTCTACTGAGAAACGATATCATTTATATTTATAAGTAAGTATACAAGTGTTTCCATCATACAAAGAGACATGTAAACCTCGCTTAAACATGTACTGCCTGTTTTTAAGGATAATGTTTCCTAAGGCATGGTGTTCGGCGGAAGGTTAGACAAACTTCGTGGGTGTATAGGTAGGGTCATTTTAAGAATACAAGTTCGCCCATTTGACCCTAAGTGAGCTACTTTTTTTAGTCGATACATAGATAATAATAATAATAGATACAGGCCAAGAGCTTCCTCGTTGTGGAAAAAAAAATATGGATAATTTTTGTATTATTATTTCATTTTCTTCCATAAACTTGGGATTTTTGATGAATTTCACTATCTAATTACTACATGTGATATGTCATTGGAAAGAAGAGAAGCTAGAGATGTTTTTAAGACGATTACCAATCCATTATCACATTTAATTTTTTTATGGAATTTTAAGTTTAATTTTTTATCGTGGTTTGTACTTTTGTTAAACTTTGGCGGCTCATAACTAGCCATCCAATCCTTATCAGGATCTGAAATTTATTTTATTTGATTAAAGACATATTAGATAAAAAAAGCGGTTGAAAATACGCTAGAAAAAAAAATTGAAGTAGTTTTTAGGCCAGAAAAAATAAAAATACCAATTTAAAAAAAGTAGCTCACTTAGGGTCAAATGGGCGAACTTGTATTCCTAAAATGGCCTTACCTATACACCCCCGAAGTTTGCCTAACTTTCCGCCAAACATCCTGTATAAATTGGAATTTTATAAAGTGAGATGCCTTGGGTCAAGTTAGTATTATTTAGTAAATACCTACTGAGGTACACAACCATTGTTACACTTATCGGTTAAAAATGAACTAACACACTTAAACTCATAATTACAAACAGTTTTTTCAAATAGCCTCCGTAAGATAAGTGTACTTAATAGCTTTTTACATTATGTACAATGGCTAAATACCGACTAAGTTGATGAGGACGGCATTAAATATACAGGAGGTCAAAATTAGCACGTCACACTAGACACTGGAGGTAGCTGGACCTAAGACGCCTGGAACAAGGCTAATATGTCCATAGGAAAGTTTCATAAGTTTTGAGATATGACCAATATAGTTATTAATATCCATAGAAGTTTGTTGAGTTTTGAAATATGACTTGATATGTATGCCCAAATCAATGTTGTTGAAACATTGTTTAATAATAAATGGGTGGTTCTACTTTTAGAGTCCATCACAAAAATAAGGTTGTCCCCACATTAACGAAGGTTAATACTATAATACAAAATGAAGAAACTATCATTTATTTTATTTAAATAAAGTTAATAACACCTGTTTAGATTATCTAGTTACACTAAGTTTCAGTTACAATTTAACTGTGTTAAAAAAATGACTTCAAACTTTTATAACAAAGCTAAAACGGCATGTCCCCATTAGGTGTTGCTTAGAACTATTACGCTTTTTAGAAATAATTTGTTGANTTTGTTTTTAAGTAATCTTTAAGATAAAGTATAGTTTTCGATCCAAATTATCGTTATTTACGATTATTATTGACCTTTTGGAAAATTGTATACTTCGTCACACGTATCCTTCGTAACAGGTGATCCTACATCTAAACGATGTGTCCTTTGTGCAGTTAAATAATATGTTAAGAACACTAAAAACACCTCAGAAAAAGGTATACGAATTTTGTATTCGTTTAGTAAACCAGTTGAAGTAGTTCTTGAAATGTTTTTTTTTTCTTTAATACTCTTAGTTTCAGTTCCTATTTGTGTAGGTTTTTACTGATTTTCCTCATATTTTTCAGTATCTATTTTAGTAATAAGCAAATATATGCCTGTGCTTAATGGCTTAATGAAAAATGGCTGAGACACTCATTAGTTTTCAAGTTAGATTGATTATTAAGTGTTAGATGTCTACTTCATCACATTTACGTCTCCTTCGTAAGGAAGAGTTTGATCTCGTCCCCTTATAAATATTATCTCTTAAACAACAAAAATGCGAGTGTTAACTCTTTTTGTAACTCATTTTATGTCGTGTAATACTTGGTTTTTAGTGTGTAATACTACTTTTTCAATATAACTTTATAAAAGAGAAAAATAATTGATTTTTGTTAAGTTTTAAAGGTGTAAATGTGACGAAAGGGACAAACTGTTGATTTTTATGGAATTGTTACCTGATTAAATAACGATTAACTACCAATTGTCCAAGACTGATTTAAGCTGAGATTTTGTAAGAATAAATGCATATATCTATTGAAATTTCTTTTAATTTATCGAGTTTTAAACAACTGAATTTCGTGACGAAGGATACATTTTTTTCCATCTTAGTCTAGTAAAACGCAAAAAATATAAGTTTTGATAAAAAACTGAGCTGCTGGTGTACAGATACCGAATCTATGGTAACTTTCCTACATTTCAGTCGTATGAAATGTACTAAATAGCTTCCTTTATTTATTTTCATGGTTAAGACCTTAAAAGTAGAACGACCCAAATAATATTAAATGAAAAAATAGTTACTTAAAAAATGGGCTAAATAGACTTGTTTGATGTGTTTAGGCTCATCTACCCATGGTGTCAGTCTGACGTGCTAATTTTGAGACACTGCATGCTGTATAGTATAGTTATTTTTCTTTGTATGCATAAATAGAAAATAATTAATAGATTTTAACAATGTAAACAGTGACTACTTAACTAATTAGCTACCATATTTTTTCTCATCACCAAAATACATTTTGTGACTAAAAATGTCATACGATCAATATCAATCATCCAAAACTATTTATGACAGATATATTTCTTGTCTATGCTATTGGTTCTTAACAAGGGTTGCTTTTAGAAGAATGGAATTCCTGAAACAAAGTAAATAATGTAGAAAGAAAAGCAGCAATTAGAGTGCACTGAACTGACCATAGGCCAAACAGTATTCAGAGCTTCACTAAACACTAATCTGTGGCCTCTGAAATAGGACCCAAAGGGCACAATGTAAGGAGAGCTAAATAAAACTTCCTAAAATAATTCCACTAATACTGGACTGTATTTTCTGATTTCGGAATATTCCGCACAATGCTACTACGCCTGTATAGCCAGTTATATAATGATACCCTTTTCCATAATTTGTCCACTTATTTTATATGTACAAATCATCAACAATTATATTAATCTAATAATCTTATAAGAAAATATACTCTTAAAATGATTCTATATTTACAAATATACTTTTATCATTATATACAAATCGTTTTGTAAGTTATTATATTATTAAGGTTTAAGATCTGAACTAGAAGCGATCTGCAACCATCTTTATTTAATTTAAATAATTTTAAATCAATTTTAGCATGTTAAAAATATGTCGCGAGTGGGTGGTTGCTTAAAAATATCCTGGCCATAATCCTATTATTAATTAAATTTGGTTAGGCTATCTTTTTTCTGACCCTACTACCTACTGCCTACTGGGTAGGCAGATAAAAACGCCAAATAGCTTCATTAGATAAAATTTTACAGTAGGCATAAACAACTGCATCATGAAAAATGATGTACCTGAGTATTTCTCAAAAAAAATGTACGTAACGAAACGGTAGTAACGAAATAGTAAGGCCATAAGGCTTGTTATACATTGGCGAAATATTGTAAATGCTCTAAATTTATTCAATTCGAAATATTTGTAAGTATGCACCCAAATACGGGGTAATATTAAGGGGTTAGAAATAAGATAAGGGAGTAATCATTCATACTATTTTAATAAAATTATTTTTGTTCCATCATGTTTATCCATTTTGAGTCGATCTCTGTAAGCTTTTTGCCTTTTGGCATTGGTTTTTGGCGGCATTCCTAAAAAAACAAAAGAAGTAATCACATAAAAACGTAATCTAAATGATTTGATTATTTTTTGCTGGTGGCACTTCTGTAAAGCAGATAGTATCCAATCCTTTTGTTATTGACGCTCTATATTTTTTGAAATAAATTAAGTAGTGAATATTACTATGCTTAGTCAGGTAATAACAGTATACACTCAGCATTATGTTGTACTTTTTCGTAACGTAACGAAATTCGTAAAAAACGTAACGAAATATTAGACAAAATGAGATCAGAAACAAGTATTTTTTTGATAAAATTTGTTACAGCAAATATAAAAGCTTACTAAATGTTCGTACCACACGTATTACAAAAAATGGTTAAATGAAGACTTACCGTTCTATATAAAATCGCTGATTTTACTGCCTGTTACGAAAAAGTAATCCCACAAAACACACACGTTTTCACTAATTTTCGCGATAGATGTTATGGCGGAGACGTCAGGCCAACAGCCATTCAGAGTGCAGCTATTGTTGTCCGTGTAAAATAAATACGGAATTGTTCAGAAACCATGGGAAAGTAGAAATAAATCGTAACTAAAGAGTAAATAACGAAATAGTAAATGAGAGCGACTCATTTTGTTTTTTTGCTTTAAATTGCCAATTCATTATGACACCCCATAGAAAATCAATTTGATACAGAAACTGCGATTACTGTAGAACGATAATACAAAGAAATTTACAATAATTTACTTACGTATCGCATTTTATGAAACAAAAACACATGAAAAAGCTAGGGTGGCAAACAGGTTTTTGTATGAAAGGTAAAAAAGGACTATTTTTAAAATATCTAAATATTTGGTAATAAGTAGGATTATAGCTATAATTCTTCGTTATCTTAAAGATTAATATTCATCCTTCAAAATTGTGTGTGTGTTTTTTTTGTGTGATGATTTATAAATATAAAACTTTTGAACTGTTTCAAAGCACACTTTTTTTTTTCAAAATGTACATTTTTTTTGAGAAATACTCACCTATAAATGTTTTGATTTTATATCGGTACGAAATGTAATTTTCAATCTCTATGTACTAATAGTCTCGCCACGATTTTTTTAGTCAACCAACTTCGGATATATTTTTTAACATACTTCTTCTTGTCGTGTCGACAACAAACCTACACAGCGTCGACCCATACTCACACCCGTATTCACAAAAGAAGCTACTTAAGTGAAAAAGCAAATCGAACGCACAGCGTTGAATACAGCTCTGTGGTTGGTTCGTGTGTGAACTTGTGCCTATAGTAATGTTTGTGAATACGGACGTAAGATTAATTTAAAATACTTTTCATGGTATAAGCAGACTAGCGGCCGTCCGCGACTTCGTACGCGTGAATCCCGTTTTACCCCCTTAGGGATGGAGTTTCGTAAAATCCTTTCTTAGCGGATGCCTACGTCATAACATCATGCATGCTAAATTTCAGCCCGATCCGTCCAGTGGTTTGGGCTGTGCGTTAATAGATCACTATGTCAGTCACCTTTGCGTTATTGTATATTTAGATGGGCGCAGGCAGCTTCTAATTCGGATCTTCTACTAACAGAGATTATTTTGGGTTCAAAGAAATAGTTTTTTACTATCAGTTATAATGGTAGTGCAAATGCAGTAACTGCATTTTTAAAGTAAGATTTTGTATGACTATTTCACAGAGCACAAGATCATCAAAGTGCTTAAAAATGCAGTGTCTTTAGGCACCATTAGAGTCGATATGTTGGGTCATTATTCACCAGGTCACTGCTTACACTTTTGTGTGTCTCTGTCGACCAAATATTTGCTAGCGTTACGTGTCGTATGTATTAACTTCACAGCCGTGAGCCTCCTTTCGAGTGTAACATTTAAATATGTCGTTCTCCCTCCCAACCCCTTTCGCCAGCCTGGGGAGCGGAGGGCGGTGCTCCTGCAGCGGAAAACGAACGAGCGATTTTTCTACTCGACGGTCGACGTTGCAAATATTATTCTCGGTAACGAAACGACATCCGTTCCATCGATTGATCGGCGATTCCGACACATTCAGCTCGCTCATATTTCACGACACGACGTCACATCGACCGTCGACGCGGCTCCGTCCCGCGCGTCGCTCCCGGCGCCGCCGCGGCTCACCGCAGGAAGTGCGGGTCGTCGCGCGCCGCCGCCGCGTACAGCCCCGCGTCCGCCGACAGCAGCCGCACCGAGAACGCGTTCAGCGCCAGCGGCGCGCCCTGCTGCACCTCCACGTTGCCCGCGTTCGCCTGCAACACGACGGAGCGTCAGCGGCGGCGGCGGCCGGCACCGCGCGCGGGGCCCGCGAGCACTCACCAGGAACAGCGTGGCCAGGAACAGCCCCGGCACGTCGGCGCGCCGCCCGGCCGCCGCGCGCAGCAGCGCGTCGCACGGCAGCGCCGGCGCCNCGCGCTCGGCCAGCTCGCGCACGTCCAGCCCGCGCGCCTCGCCCGCCGCCGCGCGCGCCAGCACGCCCGCCTGCCACGCCGACCACGCGCCCTGCACGGACGGACACGGGTGAGCTTTGAGACGCTGCTGATGTTTCGGTGAATAAAAATGTGTTCATCTTTATCTCGCGCCGGAGAAGGCCCCGGGCGTCGCCTCACCGAATCGTCGGGCGCGGCGAGCGGCGGGGGCGCGAGCGAGGAGTCGTCGACGCGCGACGCGTCGGAGTCGCCGAGCGAGCTGCGCTCGAAGAAGCCGTCGTCGTCGCTGTCGCCCTCGGCCGCCGCCGCCTCCGCCGTGGCCGCCGCCGTCGCCAGGCCCGAGCGGCACTCGAGCGCCGTGGCCGCCTCCCCGGAGCTCCAGCCGGCGAAACCTGCGGGAGGCGTCGAAGGAGGAGATGAGCGATGGACGTATTAAAAAAAACGCTCGATAAAAAAAACAGAACGGTGAACGCACCTCCTATGTCGAGATCGCTCTCGTCGAAACCGCGGAAATCTGCAAATAATTAATTGAATGAGTGCAAAGCGTCCCCCGCGTCGATTAAATAAGTACGTACCGCATGTGACTGTCGGTGTCGGTGTATCTGATAGATAAATAAACGAACGGTGCAAGTTGTTACGTCGACCGACAAGGTCCGCGCGGGCGGGGGGGTACGTACGTGTGTCGGGCAGGCGCAGGCGCGCGCGCAGGGCCCGCACGAGCGCGCGGCGCGCCGCCACCACGCCGCGCACCCACGCCTCCTCCACGCCGAACTCCGAGCGCTTGCGCAGCTTGCGCCGCAGCTCTGTGGACACACACGACACTCCTGCTCATCTGTTCTGTAACTTTTGATGTGTTCACGAGTACTTTATTTTTTTCTACACGTTTTTCAAGTTTTCGAATAACATTCGTTCGAAAGCAGCCTGAGAATTATTTGCTGTTGGCGTTACGCAGGCTTTTAATATGCGATTGCAGTTAAATTTTTCCAACTTTTTAACCGACATAAAAAAAAGGAGAAGGTTCTCAATTCGAGTGTTTTATTTTTTATATTACTAGTATCTATGCTTCTGAGGTAAATATTTCGGAGGGAATTAGAGGAAAAGAGAAATGGTCTAAATCTACAATGAACTGGTTCACAAGGCATTTTAAGCGAAAACGGGGAAGGCCACCAAGAAGATGGGTAGATGAAATAAAGGCCACAGCTGGAGGTGGATGGGCAACAGTTGCAGGAGATAGAGGAGAGTGGAAACAGTTGGAGGAGGCCTTTGCCAAAAAAGGCACACAGACAAGTGTCAATTAGAATAATATTAAACTCAATCAATTTTAAACTCTGTATGTCTGAATAAAGGCTTATATTATTACTATTAGTATGTATGCATACACGTTTTAAATTTACTTATTTCCAACTCGTCAGAGCGGTTTTACAGCGAGGTCTGAAATTCACTACGAATGATTTAACAAGTAAAAAAATAACTAAAATTAATATATCATTAAAAATATTGTTTTTACCGGATTACCTTTATTTAACATAATTTTGAAGCACCCTCCGACCAAATCGTCCGTGCTGCCGTCCATCTTCCTTTTCCTCTCCTTCTTGACTCGCTCGGGCGGCGGCAGCGGCGTGCTGGCGTGCAGCGGCACCGGCGACAGCGGCGCCGGCGACGGCTCGCGCGACGGCGGCGCCGGCGGGTCCGGCGGCGAGGGCGGCAGCGCGGGCGGCGCCGCCGCCTCGACGGCCGCCTGCAGCTCCATCAGCGGGATCGGCCGCAGGCTCCGGCCCGCGGCCCCGCCCCAGCCCTCGAGCTCGTCGACCAGCGTGCCGTTCTGCGGAGCGGATTCGATTCGGTCAGCTCGTCGACGACGGCGACGGACGGCGCGGGCGCGGGGGGGGCGCACGTACCTGCAGGCGCCACGAGACGTGGAAGTCGGCCAGCAGCCCCACGGGCTCGGCGTCGTAGTCGGTGAGCGGGCGGTCGGCGGCGCCCGGCTGGCGCGGCTCGAGCTCGATGTAGGCGCGCGGCAGCGTGGGCGGCGGGCGCGCGGCGGCCGGCTCGCGCAGCGCGCCCGGGCACGGCGCCAGCTCCAGCGCCGCGAAGCCCGCCTGCGCGGCCGAGGCGCGCCGCCGCTTGCGCGCGCCGCCCGCGCCCTCCGCCTCCGCGTCCGCCTCCAGCGCGCTCCGCTCCAGCTCCCTGCGGACGGACCGGTGACCACGTGTCAACGTCTGTGGCGCGGGTGCGGTCGGCGCCGGCGGGCGGTACTCACAGCGCGCTCTGCTGCAGCGCGTCGCTGACGGACAGCACGTGCTGGTAGAGGCAGTCCACCTTGCGGCCGTAGAGGCTGGCCGAGTGCTGCAGCAGCAGCGCCAGCTCGGCGAAGTTGGGCGCGGCGCCCGCGGCCGCGACCTCGTCGTCGCCCTCGCCCGCCTCCAGCGCGTGCAGGCCCGCCTCCGTCAGGTATTCCTCCAACAACTGACACGGAACGTGTACAGAATTAATTCTCGGAACTCGACAAAAACCATTACGATGTTCACGTCTGTCCCTCGCCATGAGTTGACTTGAGTGATAAAATCATTAAGAATTTATATTGCGAGAGATAATTGTATAAGCGAAAAAGATGACGAATTTCAGAACGCAACAGGTCCACCTACTCGCAATTCGCGCAAACTCAATAAACGCTAATCAGGGATGCAACGAATAATATTATTGATATTAATACGGTCTCATTATCGAAAGACGAGGAGTTAAAACCCTAAACGAGCAAAAATAATGGCAATGTTTACTATGGCAATAAAAAAACCTGGAATAAATAAATAAATAAGGACATTTATCCCCCAATGTATGTATTGAGATCTCTCGCTCATTAGCCTGTAAGGCACACCTGTGCGCAAACAAGTGCAAAGCATTGTTTGAACAAATTTTATGAGTTACGGTACACCACAGGTTATTGAACTCTTGACATAAATTTACTAAATCATATTTAAGCACAATACCTATGAAAATATATCTGTTGACTGTACTAATTTAGATTTAAAAATAATTTTAACAATTTTGATAGAGATAGATTGGACCTGTGAAGAAGACCGTGCACTTTGGCCCTGAAAGAATTGAAAAAATGAAAGTTTGGAAGGAACCCAGCTCTCTCATGTTATATGTAGATATGAAAATGTATATTTTTCTAATACATATAACAAGACAGCAACTGGCTAACAAATAATTTATGATTGTGGGTTATAATAGAGACAATTGAGAAAGACCAAGACCAATGTCTGCTGCAATTGGTTGGCACATAGTGGTCAAGCAAAGGGACATTTTGAAAAAATATCTGTTCCTAATAAATATGAAAATTACAAGTATAAATCATTCATTACTTTGGACATTCCCTAGTAAAACCCTAAAGTGATAATGAACACACTAAAAATAATGAAGGTTTTCTATGCATCTACACCTTTCATGCATTAAGTTAACTAGTGGTACTTTCACCCTAGTCTGATGTGCTGTGCTGTCTGTACATAATTTGGTATAGAAATGTTGAGTCACAAGACTGAATTTTACAAGAAAAATGTTTTATCATTTCAGACAATATTTGCAGATTTTTAAACGCAGTTATGTTTACTTTGGATTCAGAAGTGATAGCTCAACTCTGAGGTTGGCCTTGGTCACACAATATTGTGACCTAAAATTATCCTTTTCTGGTCTAGCATTTTAATATAATGTAATAAATAGATGGGCATACTATACTAATATAACGGTATAACCATGATTTTACTTTTAACTAAAAATTCTAGTGAAATTGCAACAGATGGTATTAAAATGAGATAAAATTTTATTTAAGAATGTGTAAGTTTTTATTTTCAAACAAAATGTGTCAATGACTGATTAAACTCTACTGACTGGTAATGTTTTAAGTTAAGTATTATTTAGCAAGCAGTCCAATTTGAATTACAAATGTATCTAAAGGATTTTCTCATTAATAAAATTAAGTTGACAAGATAAGTGCTCATAGATAACATTTTGTTTTTAAAAAAATCTATAGTACAAAACTAGACAATTTTACACATTAGAATGATGATACAAACAAAAAATAGCCCAAGAACCAGAAGGCTTTGTGTCATTGGAATGAAATGGAATATTGTTCACAAATTGTTGTTACTCACAATAATGAAAATGTTCTCTATATCACATACTATTTCTTAACAGAGGTGGAATTCTGTAAAGCAATCGTAACCATTTGACAGTTCATAACGTACGATAAAGTCAGTTAAACAAAGCATTTGACAGAATAATTGTATGTTTTGAACTGTCAAATGATAACGATTACTTTACACAATTCCACCTCTGATCGTATGCAGTGATTCTAGACCACGATGTGAGTCATTGTGTCTGGCATAGATCTGTGCTCACCGCTTATGAGCAGTTAACCGTTATCATATGAGGTTTAGTACTTAACATAGCTGATAGAGTTTCAGCACGTTACCAAGGCAATATAGTGATCCAGCCCATTGCATATTTGCTTTGAAGTTTATCAAAAGACTTCAAAAACTTATTCTACATAAAGCATAGGTTATAGCTATAATAACATGTCTATATTGCAATTTAAAGTTTTTTCATACTCTTTGGCCTGAAATCTAAAATATAAATCATCTAAATTGTTACTCCATATTATTTCAACCACAATAACTACTACCTACCAAACAGTAAGTGCATGCACTGGAGAGAAAAACTGCACAGATTTGACTAACACTTGACCACAACCATTTGTCAGTCTCAGTAAATAAATAATATTTAAACCTTCGAGCAATTAATGGAGTTTAAGGCAGCACACCAAGAAATACTACATTATAAGTAGAAGCAAAGATAATAAATAAATAAAAGATACACTTGAGACTCCCTGATTAATATTTAGATAGTATGCAATGCAGTCTTAAACTTATATAGTTACATTGAGGTTAGGTAGGTAATGCAATGGGAATCACAAAATAATATTTATTAACTGGTATATGACATCAGTCCCATACATGGTTTTGGTCAAATCTGTAGTTTCGGTAATGAAAGAATAGTACATAAATTGTCATACTAATTTATTGTGATGAATTTATGAAAAATGTATGTTTTGGATAGGTGGTTAAAGAGCATCGTGAGCCAAGAGCGGCAAGCTGGAGTCGGGCACTCACCGCGCCGAGGTCCGTGTCGAAGCTGCGGCGGACGTCGCTGATGGGCTTCATCAGCTCCGCCACGATCTCTTCTAGTCTTTGTGAATTCATGCTCCAGCGTTTCTCGCGTCGGGACAAAATACGATCCCTGAAAATAGCGTCCTCTTATTGATAACATTACTGACGAGAGACGCGGGCTCAACTGAAGCGTCTGAAGCTGAAACACTGCTGCAATAAACAGTGGCGCGAAACTTTCTGTCAACGACCCATTTTTGATTTGTATCACAATTTTCTAAAATCACTTCATTACAATGATTTATTAGTATCAACGCATTTACCTTCGTCTGTCTATGCAATCGGCGTCCATTTTATAAACACAATATCGAGTGAAGAGGAAAAACGTAATAACAACGGTGGCCATTTATTTACGATTTTGAGGGAGACATTCCGTGTTCGTCGTTGTTCGCTGTCAAAAATGTTCGCGCTCGCACAATGTTCGCGGTTGTGCAAGAGGTGGCTTTGTTTGTCTATGAATCAAACTAAAAAAAAATATTTTATGTTTATGACGATTTAAGCATTTATTACGCTATGATATTACGTGAAACAACTTTTGAAAAGTAAATTAACACACTAAAATAGATATGAAATAGGTACATGCCACCATAAACTAATACCATGTAAACCGAACGAAGACCTAATTGGCGAAGTGGTATAATGCCAAGCCAATTCATTTTTTTGACATTAGAAAAAAAACTAATGTTTACATGGCGGCGAGGGATGGTTTGCTGTTCTGAATATATATTAGTTTTTAGAATTCATTTTGAAGACCAACTGAGTAGTCCAAAAAAAAGTAAATAATTAAATTCAATTAGTACTATCTTATAGGTATTGGATCCAGCATCCAGCTAACATGGGAATGTCACGGTGTTATTCTTTGATGAAATGCTTGCTGATACTTTTCAACATAATATTTTTGGTAAGAATCTAATAGGTTTCTATTTAATTTCTTTAATAAATAATAGTACATGCGAAATTTCGATAAGTGCTAAGTATGTATGAACCAATTTCAGTGTAATAAATAACTTGTTTTTCATGCATGCTCAAGTAAACAATTTACGAGTGTCTCGTTGTTCATGTTTCTGGTGTGATGGATGGGCAAGACAGGAGACTACCTAGGTACCTAGCTTCTGTACAACATCAAGCAATGATTTAAAATGACGCAAGCTTATCCCTTTTTAATATCTATGTTAAGTTTTTATATAAATAGACCTACATTATTTACATTAACTGGTTATTGTGAACTATGTATTCCGTCAAGACGAGATTTTAAGATCTCAAATGAATCCAATTCGACCCTTCTAAACATGTTTTATGGCCAAAAATTTGTGGTAATTTATTCAGAATTTGTGTTTTTTGTACAAAAATAGCTCCTTGAATGATATTCAACTTAATTTTAATAGTAGAAAGCTTGGTAACAATACATAACCCATAAAATAGGTACTCATGAATGTTATCACTCCATTCTTTTAAATTTTAATTAAAAAAGTGGTTGATCAAGCAGGCGTTCTATAAAATTGACGAACTGTTTGAAATTTATATTGACACTGTTGTTTACCCATACACTAATTCTATTTGTATTATTAATTTATTTGGACATGATTTGTATTTCTTTCTTATTAACACTGCAATTTTATTGATTATTATTATTAAGAAAATGTATTGAAAATTTGACATGTAATGAACATTATAAAAAAAATTCTTATTCTTAATTTTGTAAGTTAGCTGTGGCTCTAAAATGATTATGATTCACTTTATAAATCAAATCAAATCAAATCAAAATCATTTATTGCATAATGTAGGTACATATTATAGGTCACATAAAAAAAATATATTGTTCAGCTACATCATACCATATCGGCATGCAACAGAATCAATTTTTCGTGATTCAAGAAATTATACAAAAGAATTAAATTAAATGTCACAATAATAATTAACAATGTCAAATTTAGTAGATAGAATTTAATATTACATTAGGGGGAATTATAAAACGAGCGACAAAAAAAAACTTTGCGACTGATGATGGCATACTGTTTTAATACCTTGAGCGGTATGAATTTGAGTAAGCGAAAAATTAACCAAACTAACGACGAATATTGATCAATAATAAAATCCAGAACGAGCTTACAAAATGTAGGTTTTGATTATTACATTTCAGACATAAAAATACTATCCGAGCGACTAAATTACTAAGTGAGCGACTAGAAATACAGAGAGGGCAACTTTAATATGAAGGTACATTAGATTTTTCTAATTGAGGTTTTACTGAACGAACTACAAAAAAGTTAATTCTAAGCAAAGTTTTGTGAGTTGCTTTATTAATGATTATTGGTTACTGATATTATATTTGAGGTCTCATGTTTTTTATTTTGATACGCTTTATTAATGAAAACTACAGATTGTTACAGCGCGCGAATTCGAATGGGGGCGAATTTAATAAAATATGTATGTAGGCCGTTGGGGCAGGAAAGTTCTTGAGTGGCGACCACGGGCTGGAAGACGTAGCGTGGGCAGGCCTCCTACTAGGTGGACCGACGATCTGGTAAAGGTCGCGGGAAGAGCCTGGATGCGGGCAGCGCAGGACCGTTCATTGTGGAAAACCTTGGGGGAGGCCTTTGTCCAGCAGTGGACGTCATTTGGCTGAAAAGAAGAATGCAAACACTTTTTGGGTCTAGCAATTCGGCTCAAACTAACAACACCGCCACTGGAAGCAAAACTGATACCTATTGGACAAAAAAGAAAANATCTATGTTAAGTTTTTATATAAATAGACCTACATTATTTACATTAACTGGTTATTGTGAACTATGTATTCCGTCAAGACGAGATTTTAAGATCTCAAATGAATCCAATTCGACCCTTCTAAACATGTTTTATGGCCAAAAATTTGTGGTAATTTATTCAGAATTTGTGTTTTTTGTACAAAAATAGCTCCTTGAATGATATTCAACTTAATTTTAATAGTAGAAAGCTTGGTAACAATACATAACCCATAAAATAGGTACTCATGAATGTTATCACTCCATTCTTTTAAATTTTAATTAAAAAAGTGGTTGATCAAGCAGGCGTTCTATAAAATTGACGAACTGTTTGAAATTTATATTGACACTGTTGTTTACCCATACACTAATTCTATTTGTATTATTAATTTATTTGGACATGATTTGTATTTCTTTCTTATTAACACTGCAATTTTATTGATTATTATTATTAAGAAAATGTATTGAAAATTTGACATGTAATGAACATTATAAAAAAAATTCTTATTCTTAATTTTGTAAGTTAGCTGTGGCTCTAAAATGATTATGATTCACTTTATAAATCAAATCAAATCAAATCAAAATCATTTATTGCATAATGTAGGTACATATTATAGGTCACATAAAAAAAATATATTGTTCAGCTACATCATACCATATCGGCATGCAACAGAATCAATTTTTCGTGATTCAAGAAATTATACAAAAGAATTAAATTAAATGTCACAATAATAATTAACAATGTCAAATTTAGTAGATAGAATTTAATATTACATTAGGGGGAATTATAAAACGAGCGACAAAAAAAAACTTTGCGACTGATGATGGCATACTGTTTTAATACCTTGAGCGGTATGAATTTGAGTAAGCGAAAAATTAACCAAACTAACGACGAATATTGATCAATAATAAAATCCAGAACGAGCTTACAAAATGTAGGTTTTGATTATTACATTTCAGACATAAAAATACTATCCGAGCGACTAAATTACTAAGTGAGCGACTAGAAATACAGAGAGGGCAACTTTAATATGAAGGTACATTAGATTTTTCTAATTGAGGTTTTACTGAACGAACTACAAAAAAGTTAATTCTAAGCAAAGTTTTGTGAGTTGCTTTATTAATGATTATTGGTTACTGATATTATATTTGAGGTCTCATGTTTTTTATTTTGATACGCTTTATTAATGAAAACTACAGATTGTTACAGCGCGCGAATTCGAATGGGGGCGAATTTAATAAAATATGTATGTAGGCCGTTGGGGCAGGAAAGTTCTTGAGTGGCGACCACGGGCTGGAAGACGTAGCGTGGGCAGGCCTCCTACTAGGTGGACCGACGATCTGGTAAAGGTCGCGGGAAGAGCCTGGATGCGGGCAGCGCAGGACCGTTCATTGTGGAAAACCTTGGGGGAGGCCTTTGTCCAGCAGTGGACGTCATTTGGCTGAAAAGAAGAATGCAAACACTTTTTGGGTCTAGCAATTAGGCTCAAACTAACAACACCGCCACTGGAAGCAAAACTGATACCTATTGGACAAAAAAGAAAACGAGGCCGGCCCGCTAAGTCCAAGCCAGCACTTATCATACAGTGACTGATATAAGTAAAACAAAAGTTAGAAAGTAATTACTAGTTTATATTGTAAATGGAAAAAGTACAAATCAACTGAATTTACGTTATCGAGAATGACATAAGATATTAGTTCATAAAAAGGGCGCTAGAGGCGAGCGAGTCGTCCAATAACATAACGCTTCGATGAGTAGGTAGAGCTCCTCAATCCTCATAGGTACCAATCAATGAACCTTATTAATAAGATTACTTTTTTTGGGTTGACAGAAGCGACTTATTTTATTTTGTTTTTTTTTATTGATTCGATTTAATTTCATTTGATACCTACCCTTAAATTTTAATGATTTATTTTTTTCGCTGTACTAGAATAGTGTTCCGTCAAATATTTATTTCATAAGATCATTTTTTATTAAATGTGGGCTCATAATACGCTGCTCATAATAGTATTTATCAAAGCAGTTTTTGCATTCGAAGCACTTCATTAAAGTTAAAAATACCGCTCTGTATAAAAAAAAGCATTTGCCAAATATTGAAAAAAATGCAGGACCTAACGTTGACACTCAATCAAATATTAGGTGCTCAAATATTATGAAGCTTCTCATTTTGTATTTTAAGGAACTCAATTTTTTTTTTGTAAGTTGCTGTTCTTTTGATTTTTCGTCACTCGCACTCAGTCGCAATTCTTTAGCCCACATTAATTATTTTTGACACTTACAACATAAATTTACAGTCACTCGTTTAAATACTACCCTTACATTAGTATGTCAATTTGTCACATAGATGTTATGTTACATAAATGTTGAACTTTACTTGAATTAAAGCTTAAAATAAAAATAAAACTCCCTCATCTAATATGCTGCCGAAATAAGCTTTTTGTCCTATGCACTGTTGGTATTTTTTTTTGTGGATATGGATAACAGTGATGATTGTACACTTGTACAGTTATTTAAGAATTTTCTGTGAGCAATTTTGTAAAATCTGTTTGCACAATTATTGATTTTTATCCTCATTAAATAAAATAAAATACATCCATTAATTAGAATTCTAATCGAAATTAATAATATTGTTTGTTACAATATTATTAATTTCGATTAGAATTCTGCGGGTGTAATAGACCGGCGGATAATAGATGTACGTGATGGGTTTCCGCAGTGCGTGGGCGCGGGCGCGTGCGGGTTCGCGGCGTGGGCGCTGTGGGACGGCGGCGCGCACGAGGCGGCGGCGGCGCGCGCCGGGCTGTGCGCGCTGCTGGGCTGGGGGCTGGCGCTGGCGCTGGGCGCGCTGGCGGCGCTGGCGGGCGCGGCGCGCGGCTCGGGCGCGCTGCTGGCGGCCGCCGTGGCGCTGCTGGCGCTGACGGCCGTGGCCGAGGCGGCGGCGGCGTGGTGGGGCGCCGCGCACCTGCCGCAGCTGCGCCTGGCGCTGCTGCAGCGCCTGGACCACACCGTGCGCGCCGACTACGGCGTCATTCACGCTCGCACGCAGCTCGTGGACGCCATTCAGCATGGGGTGAGTGAGATTCGGCATCTCTGATTTATATGTTGCGATTGTGGTCAAATATCTGCCTTGTTATGCATAAAAAAAATTGAATACAATAGCTTACGGTTGAAGGAGTCATTGCGGGAAGCTCGGTGTGTTAGACGATTATCACACTGCACCGCGCTCTGCCACGGTCCGCGTGATTACATATAAAAAACATCGTCGTCCCGCGATAATCGCCTTAGGATGAAGCTTTATGCCTGTACCAGGAGTGGCCGACTTGAATGACTCTGGAGATGACTTTAATGACGAAACCTATGTACCTCTAAAAATTTGGATCATCCGTTCTATACACATTCATAATATTTGCCTCACCACAATCGACCGGACCGACCGGCGGCTATCGACCGGTGGGCCATAACTGGCTTGCAGTGATCGGGAGAAGAAATAATGTGTTAAAATCAGACAATGAAATGACACGTGGAACCCCGTTATACATTATTTATATTCGCCCCGAGCGTGAGACTCAGTGCGGCGTTTGATCTGTGCAGCTGGAGTGCTGCGGCGCGGGCGACGCGCGCGACTGGCAGGGCTCGGCGTGGGCGCGCGCCGGCGCCGCGCCGCTGGACCTGTCCGTGTCCGCGCCCGCCGCCTACTACTACGTGCCGGCCTCCTGCTGCGCCGTGAGTATGCCTTCCGCGAGGTACCGCTTTTTAAGGTCGGGAAACCTTAGCGGGTGGACCCCGCTGGAACCCGACAGCGTCCACCGGGGCCCGGTGAAACGGAGCCGCGAGTTAACGTAACTTCTTCGTCCGCAGCTCCGTCTCAGGTTGTCCTCCTTCGGTTGCTTTCTTTATCGATGTTTTCTCCTCGCGACCTCGGTGAATCGGGCCCCCGGCCCGCAATAGCGGGGTGTGATGCTGATGCTGCCGCTCAGTCAACTAGTATAGTACCGAGCGTGGCTCCCCAAACGAATGGGCCCGGGCGAACGCCCAGACGACCACCGGCCCCCTCGAGCGAGGGTGGCCGCCGGTCGCCCCGGGGCCGCCGGACTAGCGAGGCTTGCGTGCGCGTGGTTGCAGACGGAGGACGCGGCGGAGTGCGCGCGCGCGCGGCGCGTGCCGTGGGCGTCGGGCGGCGCGCGCGGGCTGCACGCGGCGGCGTGCGGGCCGCGCGTGCTGGCGGCGCTGGAGCGCGCGGCGCGGGCGCCGCTGCTGGCGGGCGCGGCGCTGCTGGCGGCGCACGCGGCGGCGCTGCTGCTGGCGGGCGCGCTGGCCGTGCGCGCGCAGCCCGACCACCGCTACAAGGCCTAAGGAGCCGCGTCGCCGGCGTTCACCACTGATCGACCTTTCGATTCGAATTACGCGTCGACGTCCCTCTGCTGATTTTCCTATACGGTCTCCGATTCTCCGCTTCGCCCGAGAGGACGAAAACGGATAAAGGTTACCGTATCCGTAAAATATAATTTACTATCATAAATATTAAATTCTATTAGAAACTGAAGCTGTCCAATGAAAAATTAAATAAAAATACCATCATACCATCGCCGAGAGGATGATGTGATAAGGAAATTCTGAAAGCGATGTAGGCTGATTTGAATTGAACAATGAACAGTGGTTAACTTGACGCGAGCACACGCCCACCGCAGTGTTCCGGCGCAGCAGCCCCTGTGGGTTGGAGATCAATAATATTGCTGCGCTAATGTTTTTCTATAGTTCATTTTTTGATCAACATCAAGTGTGGTGACACTTACCTGGTGGATTATCAATACAAAAACACAAATACAATATTACTTAAAAATTAATCTCTAAGGAATAAGAATGAAATTAAAGCTAGATTAGATATTAAAATAGATAAAAATAAAATTACTCAGCTCAAGATTTCCGCTTTGTGACGCCGCGCAGGCATCAGTACTACTACTACTACTTATGACGGCGTCATAAAGCGGAAATCTTAAGCTACGTAATTTTATCTATTTTAATATTTAATTATGGATTTCCGCAAAGTAACGCCTGATATTATAACTAATTATATGAAATGAAAGTACCTTATTGAAATAATAATTTTACTGTCTGATATTATTGTATCAATTTAAATATATGTTTTTAAGATTAAACTATATTGAACCATGACGTAGTTGTGCCATAACATTTTATTTAATATAAGAAAATAGTTTAAAATTCGCTAACTCAAATTAGTTTAACATTCCGCACTGGACTACAAAACGCATTTATTTTGTGATTTGAATGAAGTACATTCTTTTCAAGACTGACGTGATTAGAAAAAAACATTAGTTTGATTGGCACATTTTTAAAAGCACTTGATAAATGAAGATAATTAACGAAAAGTTCTATAACTAATAAAATAAACTTTCTTCTTTAAATTTTTCGGACGGTAAATAATAGTACATACATTAAATTTAAGTTATGTAACATAAACACCAAGTGCGCCGCTAGATAATAATAAACACATACAGCATATTTCGGTTTATTTTGGAGTAATTCGATTGCAAATGAGAGAGTAACAGGCCCCTTAATATTTCATATTTACTTATGTCGCGTTTTATTTTTATGTTATTGAAAAGTTTATATTTGCCAGAATCAATACTAATTAAAATTTATTAAAGTTTGTAACTTTGTACCTATGCATAAATGTTTACAAATACACAAATTATACATATGATTGTATTAAAAATAGGCTAAGATAGAAACGTAACCAAATGTGTGTTAGAAGTTGTAAGCTTATAACTCTATTCATTTATCAAAAAATATTATATATTTTTTTATAACAAGCAAGTTGGTGTCGAGCTTCCACAGTGCCACTATTTACTGGGTCTAAATACGTTCATCAACAGTGATCCTTATAATGATATCAAAGAGTTACCTTCTTGTTCATTCACTTTCTACATAATCATTTCATATCTACGTGTTGAATGTTATTATTGATTGAAAATGTTATTGCCACTGTTAGCTTTATGATGATGTAATAATTTAGTAGTCTGATATCTTGTTGAATAGACTTACTGTAGGTAGGTAGTTACCAGTACATAAATTAATATTAAATTATTTATTACAAACATGTATTAATTTGGTTTCAAACTGGACTAAATTCTAACATACTAACATTATAGTGTAAACTCTATAACGACACTTAAGGAACTGAGCATTTTTCGACGTTATAGAGTATAGAGTGATAGTTAAATCTTGTAACCTTATAAAGATTTATTGTCAACTTTAAAGAAAGGAAAACGCATTTATTGAGTACCTATTCTTCCTCCGAGTCGCCAGTTGAGTATAAGTACTAGTACTAGGTACGTACATAATTACGTGTTCTACTAATTTAAAAAATATATGTATAGCTGTACCTACCTGTAATTCCTGTAAATAAATATCTCACACTTAAGAATTTATACAAAATGTTCAATCATAAATTTCGTTCTCCTTTTATCTGTAAAGTTTGCTTTGAGTATATGTAATACTCTTCTACTATAATCTTTGTAACTTTTCGTTTCCTCCCAAACAAATAATGAATCTGGGGGCACGGCAGTGCCCCCGCCAAGTCGAGCGCGAAGCAAACACTGCCGTACCATCCTTTACTGGAACCACTTCGCCGCATTTTCAGGCCCCTATTTGAGAACCTCTGGATAAGACCAGAACGCAGAAATTTTCGTCATCTAGTAAGCTATAATCACATACTTAAAATCCAAAATTTCAAGTCTGTAGGTCATTTAGTTCTGAAGTTAAGTGAAAGCAAAGTTTCGCATTTATGACACTCACTCACTCACTGATGATCATCAAAATAGAACTAGTACTTCCCATAAACTCAGAGAGCTGAAATTTGGTACAGAGTTAGGGTTTAATGGCCACATAAAGGGAAAACTATAAAAACTAGGAAAATCGAAGATCTGGAGTAACACCACATTCATAATCAATACTACTAGCGCCACACCGGCACCGTGGTGTTCACCTGTACCGCTCACCGCTAGATGGCGCTAGCACTTTGAGCGTCGATTTTCTGCACCGCAGTGTCATTAAAACGATTCTTATTCCTTGTCCATCTTAAAGGTCGTTGAATTTATTAGTGTCTAATATCGTAAAAAAAATTCGAAAATATTAAAGGACGGCGACGTTAAATAATAATTATGTTATGCCACTTTCTACAAAAAGAAGTGAAATCCCACCAAAAACATTCTGTAAAAAACTAGCCAAGTCTCGGTGGAGCTGCTTGTTTATCTCTAAAAAGTAATGAAATCTAGACAAAGTCGTGCCAAGTCTATGGTTACTTACTGCGATTTCTTTATTATTATAGTTAATGTTGTGTGACTTGGCCGTTGAACAATCTTTATTATTAAGATAATCATAGGTAGGTAGGTACATAAGTATTATTGAAATACGCAGCTTTATTAAGCCTACAATTGACTGGATATTGAATTAACATTTTCCAAGTCGCAATTTTCCATCGTCAATGGGTAGCGGTTCTGGCGACAGATTGGTGCAATGGTGTCATGGAGCCCTGGTTTTGTACCGTTCAACGGCCAAGACCCACAACATTAACTATAATAATAAAGAAATCGCAGTAAGTAACCATAGACTTGGCACGACTTTGTCTAGATTTCATTACTTTTTAGAGATAAACAAGCAGCTCCACCGAGACTTGGCTAGTTTTTTACAGAATGTTTTTGGTGGGATTTCTATTTACTGTCATGAATTAAAATATTTTATGCGTTCATATCAAAGGTAACGAAATTATTAGATGCTGGTGTGTCATCTAAAAAACAATTATTAAACACTCAAACTTGCTTGTTACTAGTGTAATTAGTCGTAAGTTTTATATTTTGGTACTCTTGTATTGTTTTGTTTCTAAAGTTTTCTTTTATGAAATGCTGTGTGTTGGTGTTTTCTGTAACCAAAGAGCTGTTCTCTGATTTGACTAAAAGACTGTATTCGTACTTATGTACTTTACTAGTATCTACTACGTAATAATACTTACTAATACTCTGAGCTATTGTGAGGCTACACAGCTGGGTCGCGTTGCGCAGTGGTTATGTGATACCAAAACTATTTTTTTAGGTCTACAAGACACACCCAAACAAACAAGAAACTCCCATAATTTATTTATCTTTGCTTTCATAATTCACGATTTTGGCACGGTACCGAATAGTACAATAGCTTAGTAGGTGTAATGAAATATGCCGCCGTTACACTGTTTATTTATTTGGAAAGACAGCTTGGTCGACAATTTACATGTTACAGTACTCTGTAATGTGTGTGTATAACATAACTCTAGCCATTTACAGAGTCTCACAGCTTAAACGTAATTGTCTATAGGAACAACAGAATAAAATCTTCAATTTTGTAATTTTAGGTTCGAAGAAACCATAGTAAAAAGAAATAGATTTAAATACCTACACTTGAACTTGACTGAATCAGTGTAAAGTTTACATTGTACAATTTTATTGCGTTTGTTCAATTTCGCGCAGTGTTGTAGGTACGGTGGCATTAGAATAATGGTAAAAATCAAAGTGATGACTAGATATGTACCTACATACGTACTCTAATGATCTTGTATGGCAATTAGTAGTAAGTGTTGTATCCCGGAGCACAAGACCACGCGCAACTCGCGCCCTCGAGCCGCACTGCCACTGCCATACACGTACAACATTAATAGGCTTTAATTTAAGACTGATTTAATTTACTCTTTATTTCTTGTTATTACATTCATAACTAACACGTAATTAATTTACGGTTCAGTACAAATATTTAAAGCTTAGTTTCTAAGTTTGTCAAAATTTACATGTTGGTGTAGTGTGTTATTTTTATACTTGATTGATGAAACTAAAAGGGTTGTTTCTAATGCTCGAATGCAAAAACGAAAACGAAAGTGCTATTCAATACTATTATTAGTATACATAGATTTTTAAAAATACCTTTCCATAAAAAACATTAGTACAGCAATTAGTCATAATTATAATATGGGGTGTAAAATTTTTTGAGAATTTATTATTGATCATGTAGGGAAAGTTGTTGCATTTGAGCAGTAGAATCAACCCTTTTCATTTGATCAATTTATGTATGTATAAATATAACATCCTTTAATGTTGCATTGGTGTTTTCCTTAGGTTTCTTAGGTTTAGAAGTCTCGCGCCGGCCACACTGCAATTAGCTATGATGCATTTAATATGGTTAGGTATTTGCGGTAGAAACAAATAATATAAGAAAAATAATGTTGCAATTTTAGCACGAACAAAATATTTATGTTGTGAATTTAATAAAATGGACTGTTGAGAGCTACAGTGAAAGAAGCTACAACGCTAAAACTCAAGGTACATTTACCACGAAAGAAGAGAGAGAAATAGTGGTAGAGCTGTTTAATAATTTTAGTATTTTACTTACGACAACTCCGGAATAGATTTTGTAATGGTGGCCGGCCGTAATCGTGTTGATGTGCTTTTAGTTGTAAGCTCACTAACGTTTGCATGGCAGCACCGCGGTTATCTTATATTGTGCATGAATATTCCTTTGTACAAAATTATACGATGAGGTCAGTAAAGTAATAATTTCACTTTTATAAATCTTTACAGACTTCCAACGCGCTAACGTCAGCTATATCTACATACTTGGATTCTTTTCTGATCGTTGCTACAAGTGATTTGTATCTTTATTATTGCGGTCGTTTAGGTAATAATGCATTAAATTGATTATTCATTTCAGTTTTATAAGATTGTGTTAAATGATTGTAATGGTATCTGATTGTTGTAGGTTACTTACTTAAGAAACTTAAAATAACCGCGGTGCGTGTCCGAGAATGCCCGAGAGGTGCCAGTGCCAAAGTGTAGGCACAATTTGTGGCTTAGGCACATGACATGAGTAAAGAAAGTCCTTTACTCGTGTAGCGGGCTCGTTATTGTCTGTCACAAATAATTATTTATCGTTTTCACACTAATAAATGTATTGTAATATTTTTGTTTTTTATTTATTTAAGTACTTAGGTATTTAAACTTTAAATTCTTCAAATCCGGAAGAAAACTGCCTCTACTACCTACAAACAGTTTTAATTCCTATATTTCAATTATTAATATTGTTCTCTAAGGATCAAGCACGACATTAATTGGATTATTCCACTTTGTTCACTGTCCACATAAATCACCTCAGAGCTGTTTCACCCAGGTGATAATCACCAGGTGAATTGATTCGACTAATGCGTTGAAATGGTTCTGAGATGATATTATAAACTAAACCTTCACCCAGGTGAATAAAGTGGAATAAGTAATACATGAAATTGACTCGTAGATTAAGTTAACTCAATCTAATTTCCAGTATTTGCAAAAAAATATTTCTTAATTTTTACAATAATAACTACCTACTTAATATTAGGATTAGTTTCTAATGAGACATAGGAATGAAGTAAGAAGCCAGTCAGGAAGACTAGTTTTGGTAAATATGTATATTTTTTTTATTCGCATTGCGCGAATTCGACTCGCCACGTGGCCGGTTTCTATAAGATATTACCTATTATATTATCAAAGACTACATCGACTTGGCTTTATTCGTCGTTGACATGGACTGGCTGGAGGTACACGTTCAGGCACAGCTTTCACAGTTAGAAATACTAGTACCTAATACCTATTACCTACTGTTGAGGTTGCAGTCTGTTGTAGTGTAGACGAGTAATATTGTATTTTGACTAGGTTATAGGACTAGGATCTGCGCTCAAAAATGCCCAAATTGAGTCCATACTGTTAACGTCAATTGTTCGAATGAGAGGACGTGGGTATTTAAAATACCGATGTTCGTCTCGAGTGGGTCACGCCAGTCGCCAGTAATTTACGTTTATTGGAACCTCGGAGTTGGCAATTGACTGACGACACCGCCGCGCCCGGCGCATCATCGATCTACAATCAGCAATAGAACATCGGCCGCCGAATTGAGGCAAGGCCGGCATCATCTAATAAAGGAATCCATAAGTAGACTAATTTGATTAGTATACTCACCTATAGACATTTATTGTTCTTCAAGGCATTCAGCTCAGGAGTAGGTATGTAGGTAGGTACCTACCTACCAGCGTGTGTGGCCTTTGGAGTCTAAAGTTAAAGGTATTATATTATCTGTGGTTAAAGTATTGTTTATAAGAAATAAAAAGTAATAAAAAGCTTGTAATAATGTTAAAAAGATACATAGACGACGATAAACTAAGTAGGTCGCGAATAGTTTACCAAGTTTGTATTACAGCATAATCTACTAGTAGATATTTCACACATTTCCTAAGTAGGAGGTAGGCCTAGGTTGTATGTTCGGAATTTCCGGTAGCTTAACGTAAATGTCTACATTATTTGTACCTACTTACTCTTAAAAATCTTTGAAAAGAGGCTGACTAAGTACCTACCTAGTACCTACCTACCTACGCACAAAGGATAATTAAATTCAAATGTTTTTTTAAAAAAATGATGCAGATTCTATCAGGTAGGTAGTTATGTATGGATCAACAGTACGAATAGCCGGCAAATCAAAATCAAAAAATATTTATTCAG